TCCCAGCTCCGGACTTCGATTCGTTACATATGATGCATTGACTCGGAGCAGGGCACGGAGGGTCCGTGAAGTATTGATGGGCTACGGCCGGCCCAATTGATAAAGCAGTCCGTGGAGTTGCTTAAACCAACCAACGAGTTTGCATTACAGATGCAGCTTGGTGTTACAATCTAGCTGTCACAATGCGTTTTTGTCGAGCTGCGTGATCTTATAGGATGGTCTGCAATATCCAGGACGAACAGAGCCAGTGATGGAGGCTGTAGTGCATCTTGTTTTAGGAAAAAGCTAGACGAAGCTCAACATTTGAAGACTTCAAGCCAAAACGATGACTAAATGTTCATACCGGCATCGTAAGTACAGGTGTTGTCCGCTGCCGAGACCGAACACGTGATTAATGGGCAGCAGCGAGGCTACTGCCCGAAGCGAAGGCCACCACATGGAGGCTCAATGAGGAGAGATATATCGCCAATATTCATCAGATTGATGAAGCTAAAACATATATCTAAATGCTGGCTGTTGACTTATACTGAGAGAAGAGACCTCGCATTCACCAACAATCATATTTTTTATTCGATCCTGCTATAACCAGCTACGGCCGCCATCCAGGTGTACGCTCAACACCATAAAACAAACTCGCATGGACCATGCACGATCCCCTGACCTGGCCGCCCTCGAACCTAATTGGGACTTTCTGCACATCATTACAGCGACCGTTCGGGCCTGAGCACACGAGACAGTCTGAATAGAGTTATAATCGGAAGTCTAGTCATGGTTCAGCCCTTTTTTTGGTGTCGGGCTGACTGACCTCTCGTCAACCGACTTTATGCTTTCATCGAGATGCAGCAATCTCCGACGTCTTTTGATCTTTTCGCGAATGCATATATAAATAGAGTATATAGGGATCAGTGCATAATTAAGATCATGGCATTGGTTCTTATGTTTAGGTCTCCCATCTTACCATTCGTGCTGTAACTGCATCAGTCCGTATCGCTTGTCAAGCAAGCCAGCACCCGCCAGTCTTTTTTAGCTTATCTCAAGATCACAATTTTAGGGACAGTGATCTACTGTCATACAGGGTCACTCGTTTTATACAGACGGCCGAAATTTTGGCACGATGCCTCTACTTAATAATCACCCAGTTACCACGAGGAAAACGCATCGTCTTCCAGATGCTCCCCGTCCAGCCAGGACTCGAAAGACCATCTTCAAGGCCAACAGGACTACAAAAGCGATATCAATGACCCCCAGTGAATATGAGAAACTGAAGGTATCAGAGAGAAATCCGAGAACTCCCTATAGCAGTTTGAAGTCGGGTCGCTCGCACCAAGCCGTTCGTCTTCCTACGACTGTCTCTTCCGAAAGCAGCCATTCTGCTCAAAAAGCGCATACTCTTCAAGAAACCCCTCTGCACATCGTTGCAAAACGCACGCAATGCCTCATCACACCTCCCAACAGTTTGTCCCCCTCCTCATCTCCCGTCTTGTCAACCATTCAAGTCTATCCTGAACCCGGCCAGCACCTTGACGCCGCTGATTTCAATGCTAAGCTTCGCGCAGCCATCGGCCTACCTAACTTGCCAAAATGTGACATTGAGATATTCCTCCGATCTCTCGACGGCTTTGATGACAAAATTCACGTATCGCGCATTTTCACTCCACAGCAACAGCACGCCATCGAGGTAGCATTCGGCTTCCCAACGTGCCCCCTCGTTCTCTCGCACGACTCGCGTGAGCAGGCAGTTTCCGTGGCCCAGAAGCGACTTCACGAGTATCTCGTAGCCATGTTCCGCGCCGCTGTGGAATGTGTGGCCTATTACCCTGGCCCAAGCGACGACGGCTACGAGGAGCGCAGGCACGATGAGGCCTACGTGGACGAACGCATGTGCGACTTCTTCGCTATGATCGGGTCAAACATAAACTCGAGACATCGCGAGGATCCTGCGTGGGTGGTAGGGTACGGTCTCAGTGCCCTTAGTGGCGATGCCAAGAGGGCGCTGTTCGAGGGGGTTCTTCACAGCTTTCGAACGACGGAAAAGCATGAAGCCGTCTGGACGGAGCTAGCCGTTGCAGTTGGAAAATGGGAGGAAGTCTGGTGGATCAAGATGAAATGGTTCTGAGCGACACAAAAGACGGTGCTTGGGGTAGAGCGCAATGAAGGACACCCTTGGTTCAAGGCTTGGTGAAACGCACGCCAGAGGAGCAGGAGGCTGAGGGTGGAACTTTTCGATTGTGTAGGGTACGCAGTTTCATGGCCAAACCCACTGTTTATGGTTGGATGCATGAGAATCCTGTCAATTGGCATCATGTCACGAAAAGGGGGGGGGGGGTTCGTCGATAGTTTTCAGTTGATAATATTAACGGACCATTCGTTCATCTTGTGTCCCTGCCATGGCTCTGGTTTTGGGCCATGGCCGTAGCTCTCAGCAAATAACCTCATGATGTCTCGCTACTGAAACCTGGGCATGAGACAATGCTGCTGCAGAGCCTCATTCAGCGTGCCAGAAAAGGCACACCACCGCAGATGCCAAATCTTCCGAATATCCAAGGAACAGCCCCCGCGCTCGCGCACTAAACCGTCGAGATGCTGTTGAAAGGAACACCAAAGTATTGGCCGGCCAGGGCCATCGCACAGAGACTCATGCAGAAGGTCATGGAGAAGTTGACGTCGTTGTTGTCAAGAATGTCCACGCCGTTCTCAACGACGCGAGTTGGTTGAGAGTCGCCGAAGCTTGAGGTTCGGTGCTTGTCTTTAGGATCATACTTGGCGCGAGATGTGACGTCTGCGGGAGAGTCGTCAATGGCGCTGGAGGACGCGACGTCGGCCTCGGGCTTTTCGACGGAAGCGGAACCCTCGCCCTCGAGCGTTACATCCTTGACAACAGAATGCTTGGTTTTGACGCCCTCATCAATGGACACCATGGCTCGGTTACCACCTTCGCCCTCGACGACCTTGCCTGACCGTACGTCTTTCACAGTACGTTGGAAGCTGGCACCGAGCCAGCTGTCGAAGATGCTGCCAACAAGGCCCCAGAGCGCAGTGAGGACTAAGAAAACGGCGCGCTGCTGAGTTGTCCATGGGACACCTCCACCAACGGTACCAGCGGTGCTGTCGTCGCAGGTGGGCAGGAAGAAGATGGCGGTGGTAGACATGATGATCGAGCCCAACAGCCCGGCCGCGAGACCTTCGAGGGTGACACCGCCGTTGGTGCCCCGAGGGACTTTACGAGCGGGATCGGTGATGAGACGCGGCTCGCTGCGGGCAAGAATGCCAAGCTCCGAGCTGAAGGTATCCGCGGCAGCGACGGCATAGTTGGCAACGATGCCGATAACAAGGAGGTCGACCTGGGCCCCCCAGGAGAAGCACAGAGTAGAGTTGGGGTTCTCGGTCTCGGTGTCGGCGAAAAGCCTCTCACGCCTCCTGAGTTGGTGGGCGTGCATCCACGTCAAGGAGGTACCGATGAGCGAGTTGGCGAAAACTAGGAAGGGTAAGAATCAAAATCGTAGCAAAACAGGCAAGGACATGGGGCGTTGCGGTAACCAACCTTGGATGTGGGTTCGGGGGCCCTCATTGTTGGCTCCTGAGGAGGTCAGGGTGAGAGTGGCCTTGTAGTCCTGCTTGATCTGTCGACAAGGTCAGCGTATACTTCCTCAGAACGACAATCGACCTTAGGTGAAATGAGACTTACCTTGGTAACACGCGTGCCAATGAGGAAGAAGACGACAAGCAAAACAAAGGGAAGGTTCCAAGGATGATAGGCGTGAACGGCAGCGGTGAAGATGGCGGCCGCGATGCCTGAGGGAGTGAGCTTCTTCTTGAGGTGCGCATAAGCCACAAGGGCCAGCGTGACCGGAACAGCGATTAGCGGCTGCATAGCGACAGCTGGTTGAGGGTGCCGGTGACAAGGGTGATCTGAGGAGCGATACTGGATGAGTTCGGTGCATCGATTGACAGGGACAGGATTCAGATTTACCTCTGCTTTTGAAGACGACTCAAAGGCAAGTCAGGGCAAGTCTCGATGGATTAAACGTAGGCGTGGCGTGTCGCTGAAGTAAGGAAAGAGGAATGGGGCAAGAGGGTTGGTAGGCAAGCAGGGCAGATTAGGTTAGCTGTAATTACGTAGCCCGTTCTAGAAGGCCATAACATGGGGTCTGTCCATTGTTCACAAAATGCAGCCTGATCCCAGTCATTGGCTTCAGCAGTCAGTGGCATCACGTGATTGAGGATCCTTCCTCATATGTGGGTGAATAGATCACACTCTTCTCAGAGTTTTTAGGCGATTCCAGATCTTGGCCGTGCCGGTCAGGAAACCAGCTGTGTATGGGTTCATGTGCTGGTATGAAATTTTGTTGTATACGGTACGCTTGGCTGATTGGGCAAAGGCAGACAGACGAGCGTCTCTCTCGCATTCAGGGCGTCTGAGGCTGGCTCACGACAGGGGTTGCTATCGACCAGGATCACTCACTATTTCCCCGTTGCTATCGATCTAGCGACCTGCCTAATTGGTATTTTAGCGCTAGGATTTGTTCACCATACAATCCGTGCTGTATTTTACAGTAGTCGAGTCTAGGTAGCGAGCATCAACTTTTTGGCATGTGTCATCTCCGATATACATGGAGGTCGTCAAAGGCACGAAATGCATACGTGAAGCGTCTGAAATCCATATGGACATCTGGTCAACAACTCGACAACCATTCACCCGCATGATATCTGAGTGTGCCTTGAAAAGCCTCAGAGGCGGAAATACGATGGTTTCGTCGGACTCTACGATCACTAGCTTACTCATCATGAGATTCCTTCATACAGACATCCCACTTAGACCTTGAGTCAATACTGTGACTGACTGTGACCAGAGATCAATGTTGAGTCACACCACCATTAACACAGTTCACCCCTGACACACCCGTTTCCCGATAACGGGTCGATGGTAGAGGTTGTATTCAGGTGCAGAGCTGGAAGAACCACGAAAATCAACCTCACAAAACCCTTGCTCGTTAGCCGCAATGGCACACACGTCCTTTGACATGCAGGCGTTCCACGCTCAAATCGACGACACTGTCAAGAAGCACTTCCCTCCTTCGTCGCCGCCAACTCTCCCACACCCTTCAGCTCTTACTCGCGCGGCAGCTTCCCTTCCCAAGGCCTCAGATGCTCTATCGAAACCCCTCGGCGTCTCTGCCACGACAGCTCATCTCCTCGAGGATATCGTGCCTGCGCTCTCGGGCCAAGCCCTCTCCCCACGCTACTACGGCTTCGTCACCGGTAGCGTCCACCCCGCCGCTCAGGCCGCCGAAGCCGTCGTCGCCGCTCTGGACCAAAATGTCCAGGTCCACCTTCCAGATCAGACCATCGCCACCGACGTCGAAGCAGCGGCTCTCGACCTTCTCGCCGACCTCCTTGGGCTATCTCATCCGCAGACCGGCGCCCCGCGTGGTATCTTCACGGGTCGCACCTTTACGACTGGCGCCACGGGGAGCAATATCCTCGGTCTGGCGTGCGCAAGAGAGCATGTTCTTGCACGGCGCGTGCCGCCAGGTTCACCCTCGGTGGGGGAGCTAGGAATCCTGGGCGCCTGCGTCGCGGCAGGAGTCACGGAGATTCAGGTTCTGACGAGCATGGGCCACAGCTCGCTCTCCAAGGCGGCAAGCGTTGTAGGACTGGGCAGGGCCAGCGTAAAGCAGATGGCCAAAAGTCCCGAGCGGCCGTGGCTTCTCGACGTGGATGCTGTCGAGAGGGAGCTTGTGGCGAGAGACGGGACAGGCGTCGCGACCATCATTGCGGTCAGTGCGGGAGAGGTGAACACGGGACTATTCGCAGCGGGCAAAGAGGACATGGAGCGGCTGAGGGCCCTGGCTGACCTGTACGGCAGCTGGATTCATGTGGACGGAGGCAAGTCGTCGCCTGTTATGTGTGGCGAAGAAATGGACCTAACATGGGAAAACACAGCTTTCGGTATTTTTGCCGCCGCACTCGCTCCCGGGACCGTCTTCGACAAGCTCCGCGAACGAGTTTCAGGCGTCCACCTCGCGGATAGCATCGCAGTCGACGGACACAAGCTTTTGAACGTGGTAAGACGAGAATTCTGTCCCTGATCTCGATTGATTCACATCATTGGGGTATACTCTGCTGACAATCCACTCAAGCCGTACGACTGCGGCATGTTCTTCACCCGGTCCCTGTCCACCTTGACCAATGTCTTCACCAACCCAAACGCAGCGTACCTTGCCTCGTCCGCCGGTGCCCCGATCCCCAGCCCCCTGAATGTCGGCCTCGAAAACTCACGTCGGTTCCGCGCTCTGCCAGCGTATGCAGTCCTGCGTAGCGAAGGTCGCAATGGTATGGCCGCCATGCTGGGTCGCATGGTCGAGCTGGCGCGGCGAATCGCGTGTTTTGTGCGTGACTCGGAACACTACGACTGGCTACCCAATGGTGAGGCAGACGTTGGTGATACGCACATCATCGTCTTGCTTCGGGCAAAGGACGTCACGCTGAACGACGAGCTCGTGGCGCGAATCAACGAGACGAGAGACATGTACGTCAGCGGCACTTCATGGGGCGGACAAAAGGCAGTGAGGGTGGCGATCGGTAGCTGGCGGGTTGATGTTGAAAGAGACTTTGCGGTCGTGGGGGCGATCCTGTCCGCCGTTGCCGAAGGTCGTCCGTACACCGCAGCTGTCTAGGCGAGGAATCAAGTGTAGAGACAGAATCGGTAGAGGCGTAGAACAGACAGACGGTACATGCAGCTCAGCTCAGCTCAGCCGTAACGACGGCTGCCGCCCTTGTTCAGACCCTTCTCGCTCTTGTCGGCCTTCTTGCCTTTGCCGATCAATTCGAGATGACCGGCACGCTCACCCAGCATCTTTTCCGTCTTGGTGATGAGGCCGGCGCAGTACTTCTTCTGCAACTTGTCGGCGGCCGAGTTGGCCTTGGCCTTTTGGGGCTTGTTGACCTTGGATTGTTTCTTGGTCGTCTGCTTGGGCTTGCCCGTGGGTGCCGGTCGTGAAGAGCTCTTGATAGCGCCTTGTGCCATCTTGCGGGCCTGTTCGCTTGTGTTTGCGAGTCCGTGGTCGAGGATTCGAAAATGTTGGCAATGATGCTGACCGATTGAATCGACCTTTTGTTGTCAAGCTGAGTAGGAGCGAGTCAACAGAAGAAAATGAGCATAAACTAAAGGCGGGGCCTATCGAGAAAATCTAGTGGAACATCCTTATCTAATCGAGCATCAAGATCGGATTGCGACCCCAAGTTCCACGCGGCAGCATCGACAAGTCCCCTACAAAGCCCACAGTCAGACCTGCTCCACCCGTCGCAAACCCCCGAGTAACCGTTCGAGCATGGCTACATCAACTGGCGGACATTGTTCGGTGAATCCAGGAAGCAGATCCTCCAGCGATTCATCCGTATTGCCCGAATCGAGGGGAAACATCACATGCCCCATTCCCCAATACTCCCTTAGTATCGTCGCCCATAACACCTCAGTCGTACCGTTAGCCTTCTTCTCCTGAGTAGCGAGTGTCTGCATCCAGCTCTCTAGCGAGACCATCTCTATTTCTCTCCCATCTCCACTCAGTGCTTTCACCACGTCGGGCAGATCTCGCAGCCCCAGGGGCTTGGGGTTGCTGATGTGATAAAACAACGGCTTGTCTCTCGATATCGAACAAGATTCAACGGCTGCCCTCTCTGACGTCAGGGTGAAAAGACCTCGTACCAGGTAGTCCACTGGCACCAGATCGACCGCCAACCGGGGTTGCTTGGGTGAACCTACGGTCGGGATCATGCCAGAGTCGACCATCGCGAGTATTATGCGAAGCGCAAACTCATCGCCGGTGCTCGTCAAGCTACCGTACCGTAGGTTGGTCATGGCCGAAGCGCGTGTGATGGTGACTGGGAATCCACGGGACGCTGCGCTGCATAGGAGGGCCTCTACCACCCAAAGGGACTTGAAATAGCCGTGCTGGTTCTCGGCTGGGGGTTGGAAGTGGGACATGTCGTCCTCGGTTGCTACCCAAGTGTTGAGATTCGGACTGACCAGGGACCATGATTGTAGGTGGCCGACAGACCAGGACGAAAGGTAGTGTATTTCTGAAAGATGTTCGCCTGTGCCTGCCAGCTGAATGAGATCAAGGATTGGCGTGACATTAACAGATTTCAACTGTGTGTAAGTCTTCAACAAGCAGACATGCCCCCCCAGATGGTAAATGGTCTGAACCTCACGGCCGAGCTCGAGAAACTCTGATCTGTTGAGACCTAGCCGGGGCTTCGACAGGCAGCCGTAGACACACCTCACACGCGAGAGGACATCGTCTCTGTCGAGATGGCCATTGGAGCTTATGCCCACTAAACCGTGGTTCTCCAGTAAAACCATCAAATCGTCTGTGCTAAGAGGCTTCAGGGACCCAAGCACGTAGACCACAACATCGCGCTTGCTCACCAATATTTCCGCAAGAAGAAACAAGCCAACCGAAAGTTCGGCGCCTGTGACGAGTATTCTGGTGATGTCATCCCGATCAACACGGGGGATGCTGTACTGGGGAATATATCGCGGATTGGTGGGAAGTTTCGTCTCCGAACTCCAATCTATGGTTGTGTCCTCGGCGTTACTGGCAGCACCGCCCTTATTTTGGCGAATATAGGCACAGACGGCGGCAACTGTGGGTTCCTCGATGAACTGAGACAACGGAGGTGCGATATTGAGCTTCTCTCGAATCCTGGCCTGAAGTCGGACGAGCAGGATTGGGTGGTTTCCCTCCAGAAAGCGACCATCGTTTGGATTTGGGTATCTATCCCCGAGAGTGCTGTTGAAGATAGCAGTGACTGACTTCTCTAGCCCTTCGGGTCCATTTTTGGAGAACGCGCCACCGCTTGATTGCGATTGCGACGCGCAACATGATTTCTGCTCAACCTTGGTAAGATTGGTGCGAACCCCGCGAGGGTTGATCTGCTTGTGCCTAGCAGTCAAGCCAGTGGACTCGAGTAGGCCCGCTGGATGGAAGCTGGATCGATGGTTTCTTTGCACCATGCCATTCCGTTCTCCGTGATGGCCTCTCTGAAATACCAGTTGGTCATTAATGGGCAATCGAGCAGTGAAATCGGGTCCGTTGAATAATCCGGTGGCGAAACGCGGCCCGCCGACGACCAACTCTTCAGGCATTCTGAGAAGTGTGAGGTGCCTAGATACGACACGGTGTTTTATGCAAAGGTTGGTTACTTGAATGATTTTAGGGACCGAACTGCTCAATATAAGTCGGGGTATAAGCTTACTGGGTGGTAGAGTTGAGAGATCTGACACGGGGTGTGAAGATGATTTATGCCTTTGTCCACACACACACACACACACACACACACACACACAATTTTTCTACAGTACTCATGATCCGGCTTCCTCTCTCTGAGGGTCATTACCGTAAGCTGGACGCTTTGGGCCCTGTTAAAGTAAATGAAGCTGGTGTCGGACTTCCCCATAGGTCCGTCTAAGCACTTGACGCCCGTCCGTCATCGCAAGTACTTTACGTGACCAAGTATCCGGTCACGGTAGTCTTGAGGCCCGTAAAGATTCGTTGAAGGAACGCTCCAAGCAGCAAGCGAGTCCTTCGGCTCGTCCGGTTCGATGGCGTGTCAGTGCGATCATCTGTGGCAGCGCGGATATGTTGGAACATTGGTGCGCAAACACTACATCCTTGGGCACAAACATTCTCTCAGTGTTAGCACTGTATTGTTTGGTCTGGAACTTATTTAAAGCACCTTCTTTAGTTTCTTCAGCTTCTCAGAAAATCTACAAACTTCTGTACGGTAGACTTTCAGCTGAAAGATCTTCGACCAGGGTGTTGTGGAAGGTGAAGATGACGACCAACCATCAGTCTCTGACGAGGTGGCCTGGAATATGATCGGCCATCAGCATCATAGACAATACCGCGGTTACTAGCATCTGGCATTGTTAACAAGAGGATGACTGAAGGCAGAAGTCTTATTTTGCAAACCAACGTGCATTCTACGCAGTTTGGCAGTATCCCACATCCCATCAGGGCCATCCGTGTTAGGTGGTACAGAAAGGGTTTATATGTCGACGCCTGTGACTACACCATGAGTATCAATAATACCCAGACCTATGTCAGTATGAACCGCTATGCATGACCTATGTAAGGTATGGGGCGAGGCGATGCCAGGTGAAAGAACGCTTTTCACGTAAGTAGTACAAGTTGATGACACAACTCACTTATGAAGCTGGTAGTGTCAAGCGATATATGACTGGGCCAAAAACTAAAGTTTACTCGATCGGTTGCCTGGAAAGTTGTATCAGTATCGATATGGACATTCAAATCCGGCCGCTGAACTATCGATCGGCAACATCTTCTTCATCAGCCTATCTGAACTTTGAACCATGAAGCCATGAGTTAATAAATGAGGAAGTTTTCCCATCTGGGATGAATGACGAAAAAGCGTTTCAGGACAATGTAGAGGGCATTCCTGCCCAGCAGCCGACCTTGAATATTCTTCGCCTGTGAAGACTGAAAGCTCTGATGCATGCCGCCTCGGACAGGTCCACCTGTTTGCGTACACTTGGAGGACAAATACTTCATTGTTCGGTCACATGTTTCCGTTCATGTATTAAATGGGAACGAGGTCAGACAGGCAGCGCTTAACCGCCAGACAAGCGTGATGGTGGTTGTTAAGGCGCCCATGCCACCAGAAGACTGCTACCGATGAAACAACGTCCACCGCGAAGAATAGAGCACGCAACTTGCTGTATGAAATGGAACAAATGCAGAATTCAAGCAAGGTCGCGTTTGACGTCTGGCGGCTAGGAGCAGGCCATATGTGACCAGAAGGATTCACCACGACCTAAGCTGGTTTGTGCCACGCCAATTCGTGCACACCAGCTCATCATAGAACGTCAAGACAACGAAACCATCCAGACGAAGCGGTCAGAAATGAAAAGGCGCGCCAATTTTCTCTTGACGACACACATTGAATTGGACAGTAGTTTCGTCAAGTTGATTGACCAGCTGAAACTGGCCGCCATTTCTTTTTACCCTCACCGGACCTCCGCTGGGGAACTCGGTACCCATCCCTGAGCACGGCGTCCGCTGGCGGCGCAATTTGGCAGCGCAAGTCGGATCGACATGTGGCCCAATTTGTCCCAAAAAGACAAAGATATTGGCGTCTATTGCCGTGAGAACACATCAGCGCGCATTTGACGACCAAGGTCCGTCGATTCGAAACGGGAAGAGCCCCTAGGGAGAGACTTAGACACTGCTCAGAATCTTGCCTAGCAGGAATTCTGCTTGACAAGATGCATCGGACGTTGAGACCTGAACTCCGGCTCTTCTGCTTGCCTCGGACCCGGTCCCTGTAGCCCCCGTTTTTGCTCGACCTCCGTCCTCCGTTCTTGACAGTTGTTGGAGCGGTTCCCCAACTACGTTTTTCCTTCTTTCACAATGTCCGGACCTGCAGCGGACAATGATGCCAACGAAGTCTGCCGCCATCATATAAATTTGAGTGCTGTCGATACACGACTGCTGAACGACTTCTTCAACAACGACTTATTCACGAATCCCGCCTTCTCCGTCTTGTTTACTGTTCTCAGACAACAACACAACATCCACGATGGCCCCTGTTGCTGCAGAAGATATTGCGCCGGACGCTGCCGAGCGACAGCAAACCCCTGACCGCTTCGACGCCGCCCGCCCATTCCTTGGCAAGGTCGCTCTTGTCACTGGATCCGGTCGTGGAATTGGCAAAGGCATTGCTCTCGAGCTTGGCAAGCGCGGCGCCAAAGTTATTGTCAACTACGGCTCCTCCGCTGCTGCTGCCGAGCGAGTCGTTTCGGAGCTTGCAGATATCGGCACAAAGGCCATTGCCCTCCAAGCCAACATAAGCAAGCCAGCGGAGGTCGTCGAGCTCTTCGATCGCGCTATTGCTCACTTTGGCCGCATCGACTTCGTCATTTCCAACTCGGGCAAGGAGGTTTGGTGCCCGGAGACTGAGGTCACTCAAGAGCTGTTCAATGACATTTTCGACCTCAACTGCCGTGGCCAATTCTTTGTCGCCCAGCAGGGTCTCAAACACTGCGCGCGCGGTGGCCGCATCATACTGACGTCGTCAGTTGCTGCTTCCATGGGCGGCATTCACAACCATGCCCTGTATGCCGGCTCCAAGGCTGCTGTCGAAGGCTTCACGCGTGCCTTTGCCGTCGACTGCGGCGAGAAGGGCGTAACTGTCAATGCCATCGCCCCCGGCGGCGTGAAGACAGACATGTATGATGAAAATGCTTGGCACTATGTTCCTGGCGGCTTTAAGGGCATGCCCATTGAGACCATCGACCAGGGCCTTGCCAACATGAACCCCCTGAAGAGGGTTGGTGTGCCCGCCGACATTGGCAGAGCCGTCTCCGCCCTGTGCAGTGAAGACTGCGAGTGGATCAACGGTAAGGTACCCCAGGCTTTCCTGCGGTTATTGGTGACTAACGTTCGCCAGGCCAAGTTATCAAGGTTACGGGTGGTGGCACCTAAGCCTAGTCGTTTGGTCGCAGTGAATTCGGGCCCATGTATAAAACTGCATAAACCATTGAGAGACCTGCCGAGACGGTTGCATGGCAATGCCGCTCGTGAGGCACGCCTCGCAAGATAGGTTCGAAGGTACTATGCATACATCTTGGGATCATAGCTAGATTCATGGTTTATCAAGCTTTGAAGGGCAAGTCGTCGCAGGTAGATTCTGCGCTGCCGCTCAGGCAAACACACATTGTCGCAAAGAAATAATTTCATGGCGTTCAAGAAAACTAAAAGTGATTGAACTGACTGGACCACGAACGTAGAAGCAGTGATCTTAAACCAGGCAGCCTGGGGAAGACATGGGTACTAGAGAGGTGGACTGGTGCCCAATACATACATAATCTCCTACAAGCATATTTAGGTCGAAATGACATAGGCGCAAAGTAAACTGACTGTAGTACCAGACACTGGAGCATCCACGTCGCGAAGCTCCAGGCATAGAATCTTCAACAGGTTTCGCAAGGCCCGAGAGCCTCCAAACACCACTAGACCCCTGAACATTCTGCCTCAAAAATGCCCAGGTATGTCAATTGGATCTAGTTTCGCCCGCGTATCCCGCTTACGCCCCCGAAGGAGCTGTTCTGTGCACTCCAAACCCGCATCATGAGGGCGCATCTAGCCCGCCATGTCTATCGACGTGCCCTGGTCGCCAGAGGCTGCACACCCGCGAGCGCCCTACTGCTTGCACCATCGTCGTGTCGTTCCTATCCGATAGTCGCTCCTCCAACCCGGCGAACAACCCGGCGAACCTTCTTCGGCATCTTTCAGAAAGCCCCAAGACAGATCAAAAAGCCAGAGTACGAGCCAGGATGGACAGTCATCCTAACGTGGAGGAATCGGTTGCTCGACAATGTACGCCCACCTACACGCAAAGAGCTGGTCGATGCCTTTAGAGAGCTTTTCACCTACAAGCAGCGGTTCCATGTCACAGTCAACAGCACGCAAGCCCGACACTGCCGGAACCTTTTGAAATACCTGATCGAGAACAAAGATGACGAGCCCGGCGAGGGCTTGTCACTGCTGGAGTTGACGGCTGCTCGCGATGCACTGCTCAAGGTTCCGAAGGAGGACACGTCCGAACATCTAGAGTTCTGCAAAGCACTCTATGCCGAGATTACAAAAGAGAGGGAGCTGGAATACGAGTACGAAGACACCCGGCCAATAGAGCTTGAAGAGGCAAAGCCGGCTGTGGAAGACCTGAAGGCATACATGTGGGCACTGACAACCTACGGCGCATCCAAACAGGCGCATCTCGAGCTACGAACGCACTGGGCACAGCTTCGGGCAGCAGGCCAGTCAACGCGGGATGCTAAAACCTTGTGGATCTACGTGTTCCGCGGCCTGGCAGCGGAAGGACGCGAGAAGGAACTACTCGAGGCCGCAGCAGAAGCCGAAAAGGGAGGTATGGAGTATACTCCAAGGTTTCAGGAAGCCATGACTACATTCTTCGCGACAAGAGACCGGATCAAGGAGACTAAGAAGTGGTTCTCCAAACCCATAACTGGTAACAAACAGCCCAGGCACGAGACATATAAAGAGATACTCAAGTTCTCCATCCGAAACAGTCAACATGCCTGGTGCGACCCGATCTTTCAACAGCTCGTTGACTCGAATCCGAGCAAAGAGCACTGGGACGTGGTGTATCAATGGGCGGTCCTGTCAATGTCTAAGGGACTGGATGATTTGCGGAGCATGTTCGACGTAGTCGCGAAACACAATCCGGATGACCCGTCTATTTTGCCCGATGTCCATACGATCAACGGCCTGATTGAAGCAGCATCCGAAAAGAACGACCCTTACCTAGCCGACAGACTGCTTGCGTTTTCCAGCGAATACGGCATCAAGCCAAATGCCATGACATTTGTACTACAAATCGAGTCTCGCATCAAGGCCAAGGACTTAGCCGCTGCAAGGGAAGCGTACAAGCAACTAGCGAGGACAGAGCTGGAAGGCGAAGAGGATCTCCCAGTAGTGAACCGATACCTACAGGCTCTGTGCGACTTGCCTCAGCCAGATCTCAAGGCTATTCGAGAGATATTGGATGTCCTGGAGCAGCGCATTGTCACACTGGACCCCGACACCGTCGTTGCTCTGTGCACCGTCTATCTCAAATATGACCAACAGATGGACATTATCGACACCCTCTCTCTCAACATCTTCCAGCACAGCACAGACCAGAGGAAGTCTGTACGAGACGCATTTGTTTCGTATTGTCTGGATCGCAAGAACAGTACAGCTAGGGTATGGGATGCGTACTCAATACTGCGACAGTTTTTCCTGGAGACCAGCGTCGAAGATCGTCTCAAGCTTATGCAGGCTTTCTTTGACCGCAAGCGTCCCGACATGGCTGTGCACACCTTCGGTCATATGAGGCAACACGTGAACCGATCTTTTCATCCCTCAACAGAGGCGTACATTCAGTGCTTCGAAGGCCTAGGGGCGTGCGCCGACTCGGACTCGGAGGAACACGTCAGTTTGGTCCACAACATGCTCAAGATGGACCTTGGTATGCAGCCCACAACGAAGTTGTACAATGCCCTTATGCTCGCTTATGCAGCCTGCGGGCGGCCGTCACGGGCTCTGGATTTTTGGAACGACATAATTCGCTCCGTCGAGGGGCCATCATACAACAGTCTGGAAATTGTCTTCTCGGTCTGCGAAAGATTGCCCTATGGCGATCAGACCGCAAAGAAGATATGGAAGAAGATGGAGGCACAGGAGGTAGACGTGCCGCCATCCGTCTTTGCGGCTTACTTAGGCGGCATTGCCGGTAACGGCAATGTGACCGCGGTGCAAGAGGCGATCAAAACGATGCAACAGACTGTTGGATATGGTCCGGATCTCCTCATGTGAGTAACAATCCCATGAAGATATGTACTCTAGTAGACGAAAGCTGACCACCTCATAGACTAGGCGTGGCATACAACGCGCTGCCAGGCCAGGTGTTGCAGCGCAAGTTCGCGGAGTGGGCGAATGAGACACAACCCAAGGTGTGGGCGGAAGTGAAGAAGAAGCGTTACCAACGTGCCGCCAACGGTGTGACCAAGTACAAGCTACCACGTGTGCTGAGAGCATGACCATGTAACATTACATGTTTTAAAGATATCATTTGCATATGTGTACATATAGAGAGGGTAGATGCTACCCAAGGTGTTGTACAGTTTGACACAAATTACAGACTGACCACTCCGCCGTGCCTGATGTTTGCCATCTATTCCTACCACTTCTGGCCGCCCTGCAATCGCTTCATGATGATCTCAGGGTGGAAGTGAACACTGGGGTGAATGCCCATACCGATGACTCTGCGGATTGCCTTGGCCATCCTCCTCTGGTTTCGTGGACGCAAACCAGTGTCCCTTGAGTTCTTGATTTGACCAAAAGAGGTCGTGTACTCCGAAATCATGGAGAAGTTCTGGTCATTGTCAGCCTTGCGCCTTTTTCTGCTGCCAATGGAGCTGAAGCAAACAAACCTTGTACATGTCCAAAGGGTTCAGCGACAGCAAATCCGTCACATCGTGCTTAGGAGCTGTCCTCTTCTTCCATCTAGCCAGTTGGTGAGGGTTCATGTCGTGCGGCGCGTAGACATCGCCGGTACGCCACTTTCGCGGCATCTGTTTCATATAATCGTCGCTCGTCTTGCGCTCGCGCAGCTGTTGCAGCTCGAAACGCTTGCGAGCTAATTGTGCCTCGCTCTGGGCGAACTTGCCGCCGCGAACGAGGTTCTGAACGCGTTCAGCATTGTTTCCGGGAGCAGGTCGCTCGTCGAGGGTGAGAATGTCGGAGGCGGAGTTGGGTTTGGATTCTAGAGAAGGGGGTCAGAACACGGGGTATTCCGGAATGGTCCTCGTCACGTACGGCTGAGGGCGGGTGATGTGGAGAGAGGTCGTGCCAGACGACGGAGAAAGGCGGAGGGCGCGGTGACCGCAGGCAAGAAGGACAGTCTGGGAGGCATTGTGGCGGTCGTGGGTGGTGCAATTGAAGATAGACGTCTGAGGTCTGAAGCCGGGTCGCGATGGTTCAAGCTCTCCAGGCATTGTATTTTTGGGGCCCACATTAGTCCAACGGGCCCACTTATTCTGTTCTGATAACGGTGGTTGAAGATGGTGATAAGGATTTTTCTGCATCCCACTTGTAGCCGCAGGAACTACCACGCCCAGTCTCACGAACAATACCGCCGCGAAACACGAACGCAGACAAAGAACGCAGCTTCTCTGTAGCCGGAATCTACATATCAAATCCTCGAGTGATCGACCGTCTGGTCAAACAGCCGCGAAAATGGGTCGCGCCCTCAAACATCACGAATCGAAGCTTCTTCGCAAAGTCGACTTTATCACATACAAGCAGGATAACGACCATCGCGATGCGAACATTCGAAGGCGGTACATGATCCAGAAACCAGAGGACTACCACAAGTACAACAGGATATGTGGAGTTAGTTGTTCCTTGCTCTGGTTAACCTCCACAAGCACATGCTAAGATCTGCTATAGTCTATCCGCCAGCTCGCACACCGTCTGTCACTTCTGCCCCCGGAAAGCGCGGTCCGTCAGAAGCACGAAAAGCTTCTCCTCGACAAACTGTACGACATGGGTATTCTCTCCACAACAAGCAAGCTCTCCGCGGTGGAGAACGGCGCAACAGTCTCCGCCCTCGCCAGGCGGCGCATCCCCGTCGTGATGACGAGGCTACACATGGCACCCACGGTCCAAGCTGCCACAAAGGTGAGTTTCCAACTCGATCACCGCTCTAAACAAGAAAAATAATTCGTGTTAACATTTGCAGCTTATCGAGCAGGGCCACGTTAGAGTCGGCACCGAGACAATCACAGACCCGGCTTTCTTCGTGACGAGAAACATGGAGGATCTGGTCACATGGACCGCAGGCAGCAAGATTAAGAGGAACATCATGAAGTACAGGGACAAGCTGGATGATTTTGAGCTGCTATAAGAGGGCCGTGTGTGTTTGAGGTGGGTAGCGGAAGATGATGAGGAGCTACATCCTAAGGGGCAAACAGGTGGCACAACTGGGTCTGATCAGTACAACCGGCCCAGCTCACTTATTTCCCTGAATGCAACAGATGATTATCAGTACCATGCTTCCATCTCAAGAGTACAATGGCCTGTCTTTGCACGTCACCCATGTATTCATCCGTCATGAAGGCGGAAAGACCCAGCAGGGCACTTAAATGTATGCATGTAACCGGTAATTGGCGATATTGCACTACTCTATCCAGTATGGTACCCGATCTCGGTGGACTTTCAACCCATGGACATCGTAAATCATTTTACTTTACGTCCTGTCATAATTCACGATCCTTCTCATGTTTGTTGTTTTCTTCAAAGAAGTCTCATTCCGAAACCAAAGTTTCGACAAGGCATGGTGTGTTGCCGTGTCAGCTTGTACGAGTGGTAACGTCATTGACCCCGGTACGCATCGCTCTCATCCGAGGATCGCGGAATTGTCACGATGACCACCGAGGTCAACAACGAGAAGGGTCCCGCCTTCAAGAACTACAAAGGCTTTGTGGCTGGTATCTTCTCAGGCGTTGCAAAGCTGACTGGTCAGTATTTCGGTCTCCTAATGATAGTCTATTGATTAATGAGGTGTATAGTCGGTCATCCCTTTGACACTATCAAAGTCCGGCTTCAAACGACAGACGCCAGCCGCTTCGCGGGGCCTCTTCAATGCGTCGCTCAGACCATCCGAAATGAAGGAGTCCTCGCCCTCTACAAGGGCGCCTCGCCGCCGCTTGTCGGCTGGATGTTCATGGATTCGGTCATGCTGGGTTCCCTGACCGTCTACCGGCGCCTGCTTTCACAGAATGTCTTCCACGTCTCCGATTTCCATCCAGGCGCGCCACTCAACTCTGGCAAGAGCACGCTGCCTTGGTACGGCCACGGGATGGCCGGGATTATGGCCGGCGCGACTGTCAGCTTCATCGCTGCGCCTGTGGAGCACGTCAAGGCGCGCCTGCAGATTCAGTATGCCGCCGACAAAGCTGGCCGGTTGTACAGTGGACCTATTGACTGCATTCGGAAAATTTGGAACATTCACGGTATCAAGGGCATCTATCACGGTCTTGGATCGACACTGCTATTCCGCGGCTTCTTCTTCTGCTGGTGGGGCAGCTACGATGTTTTCTCGAGACTTCTGCGGGAGAAAACGTCGTTAAGTGCGCCAGCGGTCAACTTCTGGGCGGGTGGGCTGAGCGCGCAAGTATTCTGGCTGACGAGCTATCCGTCGGACGTCGTGAAGCAGAGGATCATGACAGATCCGCTAGGAGGAAGACTGGGTGACGGCGTGAGGCGATTTCCGCGCTGGCGAGATGCTGCAGCCGCAGTGTGGAAGGAATCCGGGTGGCGAGGGTTTTGGCGCGGCTTCTTGCCCTGTTTCTTGAGAGCCTTCCCGGCGAATGCAGTGGCGCTCGTCGCATTCGAGGGTGTTATGAGATCGTTGCCATGATTCTAAGATTGTTGGAAACGAGTCTGGCCCATAGAAATGTACCATCAGGCGATATGATAGGGACTTGCTGTTTTTACACAGCAGGCAGTGTGACGGAAAAAAGAATACCCCTCAAACACACATGTCATTTAAGATCAAAGAAAGAATGGTTTGGTCAAAAGTATTGGCAGGTCAAGCGCACGCGAAGGTGCTAGCTTTTGATTTGGTTTTTAAAGGTATCCTGCCACACCTCATGCTCGCCCATCCAGGCACTCTTTTTTTTTCCCTGACTGTTGTCCGAAGAATCATGAAGCGCATTTCGTCGTGAACATTTACTCGTCATCGTCCTCAGCCTCGTCGTTGACGACGTTGTAGAACTTGAGCGTGTAGACACCCTTGGAGGTGGCAACGACGCGGAGCCAGTCACGAAGCTGCTGCTTCTTGAGGAACTTCTTGGTCCTGTGCAAGGCAATGTGTTAGCCGGCTTGCTAGGCAACAAAGAATGGTCCTCTGTAGATACGTACAGGTACTTGAGGTAGCGGCCAGAGAGGTCGTTGTGGGAGACGATCTCGACCTTGCCGTCGGCAGAGGAAGAGATGGTGATGTTGTCTCCGAGGTTGTTGACACGGCCCTCAACCTTGATGCGGTCCTGGAGGAACTTCTCGAAGGCAGCGACATCGAAGATCTTGTCGTTGGCGGGCTGAGAAGCATCAATGATGAACTTCTTGGTGGACTTGGGGCCCTTGGTGCCCTTCTTGGTCGCCTACGGAGAACATGATCTTAGCCTACTGTTTCACGCCATGGTCTCGGGAGAGAGACTGGGCCAACAGCAAAGCGATGGTTCATGTACATACTGCTTGAGGAGCCATTGTGATGGATTTGAGGGGGGGATGAGTACGCAAAGAGGTAAGAATCCTGCGTATGTGTCGAGTGTCGTGGGATGATGATCAAGACTTCTTGAATGCGGGATGGCGGGACAAAAATTCGTGTGGGATTGGGAAAATGCCCAAAAAGTTCGACAGGGGGGCGGACTCCACCAATCAGGGCTTCATGGTTTTGCCGTATCGCCGACTGACCGAGAGCGTGGCCCCTCCATAACTCGGTGTGTTCGGTAACCCGGACGAGAGCGCTGGAACGAGCACCCCGCCTCATAAGGCTGCGCTAAATCCTGGCTGTTTTGGCCCCCACGATCCCCCGACTTCGAACCATATACAAAATACAATCTCTATTGGACTCAACCCTTCACCCGCTCTGCTGGGGCGGCATGAGGTGTCTCTCCGCCAAGTGCTTCTGTCACGATCGCCTCTGACAGCAAATTGGTGTCTCGGCCCAGTGTGTATCTCGTTTCGACTGAACGGGTTCACAGCTCGGACAAGTATCAACGCCGAGCTGGTGATGTCCATAAAGGCGGGCCCCGGGGCTTGAGTTTAGACATCGGCATTGTGTTCTTCTTTAGGCAAGAGCGTCATTGCCTTGGACCGCGAACCTTGGACTTCGCACTTTTCTAGCGCTCCAACCCTGCAGCAACGCGACGGAACATGTGTGAAGTCGTGCGACCAGGATTTCCGAGAGTGGGCACCAATCACTTGATAGCACATCACTGAGTGCTTTAGGGACGCATTGTCAATCGGCTCACCGAGGCCAAATTCGGATAATCTGGAGTCATCCCCAGCGCTTCCGGTTGATTTCAGCCTGCCAACGAACGTTCCCCACGATATCTGGCATGCCACGCGGACCATCGGCGAGGCCGAGAAGTTAGTGGACGAGCGTTAAAATGTGGCAGGCTTCGGCGTCCTTAGTCGAACTTTGAATCGCCTTCCTATCGAGGAAGCGCGGCAGTTCATTTCATGCCGCAGTGACGATGTCATTTGGGGCTGGCCAGAACCTGACCCGTGGCCCTGGGGTCGGCGCCCTAGCGGCTTCCTTCCCGCAGCAGCACCATCAGCGAGCCTGGCTCGCCGATGCCTCTCGGGCCAGGTATGTGAAGGATTGGACGCCTGGTTGTCCTCGAGTCAGGTCTTCTGTAGAGGGACCGTTGCATCGGCATCAGCCCAAAAGCTTGGGACCAAGTGCCGGAAAGTCTGCTGTCTGGATCATCTCAGGCACACGCCACTACGGCAAGGCATGATGTCTGAAAAGAGTTGGACAGCGAATCGTGCCACTCACAGCTGCCCGATGCCTTGGGCCCCTCCCTGGTTGACACCCTCATGCAGGTCAGCAGAGTAGCTCCAGGCTGCGGGCTTTCGCCGCGGCGACGATCCCGAAGACGGCATTGTGTCGAAGTGAGCAGGCTCCGGGCACATGCCTATTGGCTCAGTGTTCCATTGAAGGTGGCACTGAGGGCTCTACAAACCTTGCTTCATCATGACGGTCACGGCTGCCCACACACCCACCATGCTTTTGAGAATCGCCAGGCGACCAGTGAGCACGTTGCCGTATGATTGTTATTTGAGTCCCGGCTGCTCCAACAAACCGTGTCGCAGCCACTGCTGGTGTACTCGATTGCCTCTTGATCAGTCATCTTTGTAATGGTGTGAACACGACCCCTCAAGAGAAGCCCGGTTCGGACCCTGGCTAGCAACAATCGTTTCAAAGGGTTGGGCGTGGTACGAAAGAACGAGAACACACATCAAATCGAACTAATTCCAAGCAAAGAGTAAACTTCCCAGCTTGCAAGACTGAAACTCTCGTTCTCTACTCTGGAGCCATGATGCGTATTGCCATTGCCGGGGCCGGCTGGTTGTCCAGCCTGCTCACTCTTCACATTTCACAAACAGGCAACCCAGTTCTCATACTGTCGAGAAGTGTAAAGTCCCTCCCGCCCGAGCTCCTACGTGTTCTTTGAAATGCAGACGCTAATCGTAGCATAGGCGCGACCAGACTTTGAGGCCGACTTCGATTGCCAAGTTGCCGTGGTTGATTATGACGACGCAACTGCTATCCAGTTTGCTCTCCAGGGCGTAGATCTCGTCATTAGCACTTTTCGCGGCCCCGCACAAATCAACCTCATCCACGCCGCACGACGGGCCGGCGTTCGCCATTTTGTACCGGCAGAATTCGAAGGTGGACTCGCTCATAGACCAGCGACAGACGACCCTTTGGACTATGGATCCTCAGAAGCGCTGGACCTTCTCCGAACGTATGCCGGGGCGAAGTCTCGGAACTTTCAGTGGACGGTGTTCTCGTGCGGAGTTTTCTATGAGCGGTTCGGCCCTGGAGGTCTTGGAGCGTACGGCATGGGCGCATCGAGCAACTTAGCAAACCAGGGCGATTACCTCGTCAATGTCGGAGCGGGGACAGCAGACATTGTTGAGACAAGTTCCTCCGGCCGGCCAGTCCAAGTGTGTCTGACCAGTATGGACGACTTGGCTCGTTTCGTTGCCGCAGCCATTGAGCTTGGTTTGGCATCCTGGCCCAGAGAATTCAAGGTGCGAGGTGATCGCTTGTCGACTCGTGATATTTTTGCGGCCTGCAGCTACGTTCTCGGAGGTACGACGACCCTATTGATTCTGACAATGAAGGCCTGAGCTAATGTTTTCTTCGCAGGGGGTCTCACCCTTCGCACCCGCAAACAGTCGAGGCTCGAGCAGGAGCAGGCCCAGTGTGCGTCAACCCAGGATTGGACGCAGTGGCACTATATTCAACAATTACGCGCGACCGCTGACAGGCGATACGACTTTGGACACGCGAACCTCAACGACGTAATCGCGCGTGCTGATCCCAGCGTCCAGCCTGTGGGATTTCGTACATGGCTGGCGACACAGTGGGCACCAGACACCTAAGGATCGTCTGAAGATTGCCGTGCTATTGGAGAGGGAGATTGTGAATGTTCGGGGCCTCGTCTTAATGATACCTTTTCCTTCCCCTTGAGCTTCAATTCTCTGATGCGTGCGCCCCGGAAACAGCGCGAGATTGAATCAATTCCTGTCGGGTCGCTGAACCGGCTCGGGGACCCGGTATACCATCAGTTATATCACACCCACCCACATTGCTCTCTGCTTTGTGTTGGACCTCGCCGATGAAGCAGCCTGCTACTGGGCCCAGTGGCGGAGGTGTGGTCATAACCATTTGATTTGCCCTGGCGAAGCATGGGTGTGAGCCCCCCCCCCCTATTTCGTCTGATGTGTGACGTGCTCACTCCTGTCGATCAGATTGCCTGTATCTTTGGCTGACGAGCAGGGCCTGCCAAGTTTAGCCCCCAATGAACATCTAATTTCCTGTTGTATCTTGGCATATCTAAACGACACATGTACCCAACGAGCGATAGCCGAGAGCTCCAAAGTTGGAGTTGCTACGCAATCGTGCACACAGTACCTTACCTACGCGAACAATGAGCCCGAATACGAGACTGGGGTGTCTTTTACACTCAAGCTTATCTATTGGAAGTGCGCAGTGTGCTGACCTCCTCCCTGATCTGATGATTCCAGTGCAACAATGGTGGTCGCCCCGACTTTGACAGAACGGCGGGCCCTTTTGGCCTCATGCCTCTGCCTTGCCCTTTCCCCGGTCTGCCTCGATATCCAAGCTACGAGCCTGAATATCCCCTGGTTCATCTCCTAATTCGTCCCCATACTCCGTCACGATCCACAAGCAGAACTCCTCCCACGCCGTGGCCCACTGCTTCAGCCTCTGCGCCTTGATGCCACGCCCCAGACTGGCCTCCCGCACTCCAGCGCCCCAGGCCTTGGCATCTTCGTCCTCGAACGCCGCCCATCGAACCCCGTTCTCCGCCAGTGCGCCCAAGCCCTCGAGCCCGAGGCCGCCCCAGCCCTGTAGCAGCTTCCAGTAGTCGTGAGACGGCCCGACCGCACCGGCGCTCCTCAGCGCAGAAGGACAGTCGCTTCCCAGCGCGCACGGCACGCCCCGTGCGATGAGCGCCGGTAGCGGGTTCGTCCTTTCGAGTTCGGAGATGCGTAGGAGTTCGCTGCCGAAGGGACTGGTCTCGATCAGGATACGCTTCTCCTTGACGAGGTCGACAAGGAGGGGGTGCCGGTGCAGTTCTTGGGCGCTGCCGAGACGGCGGGTTCCCAGCAGAATAGCGTCGTAGAGGTCCTCGTCAGCCAGTATCCCGCCGGCGGCTAGATCCTCGCCAGCGTGGAACAGGAAGGGGACTTCGACGCGCTCCTGGGCACACTGCTTCTTGAACCAGAAGAGCTCCGGCAATAGGTCCTTGAGGGAGCGGCCGGCGTCCTCGCGGCGGCCGCAGACGTCGTAGCCGGCAATGAGGGACGCGTGCGTAAGTTTGGTCGTGAGGCAGTTGTCCATGTCTTGAATCAGCGCGCGCCTCGGGAGGGCCCGATTGGATGTCCAGATGAGACGAAGGCCCCAGAAGGAGGCGTGAGAGGCCTCGGACTTGAATCTGGCAAGCTCTTCGTCGATGACGCTGTACATGTGGTCATAGTCAGTCTCGGGCGTTTCACGGCTTTGGCGGCAGTAGCCGAGCCCCAGAGTGACGCTGAAGACCATGTCAGATAGATATTCTGCGCAGAAGAAGCAGAAGCAGCAGCCCCAGGATGTGAACTTACCGTAGTTCGATCCAATTGATGTTTTCAGCGTGAAGAGTGCTCATTATATGACGTAAGAAGGCGCGAAAGATGGGTTCGTAAGATATCATGCTTTCCGTGATCGCAAAGCACCGCCCTAAGCGTTTCCAGATGGCTTCGCGGGTGGCATGTTGTTCCACGGACTCCTTCGATATGACACATTGCGTCCTGAGCCAGTTTCTGAACGCAGGTTCTCCGCCGTCATCGAACTCGTTCGCCGCCTTCTTGAGACCTCTCCATGTGCCGGGGACGTAGCCTCTTGTCCAGACTGACGCCTCGCTCGTCTCGGTTTGGCGAAAGCCAAACTTCACGGTCGCGCCCTCCAGCGCCGTGCTTGAATCCAACGGTGCGTCGGCCGAGATGTGCATTCCCGGAGTTTTGAATACCACATCCAGGAGCCAGTCGATATCGACCATGTTACTCAGGTTCGCGTTCAACACGCCTCCCTTCGGCAACCGCCGTATGATACGCCACAGGTCTGTCGTCTCGAGCAACGGCTTCGCCAAGGCAAACGGCGTTCCCAGATCTTGCTGGCCAGTCCATACCGTCTCATTTTCTCTCTCGCGAATCTTGGTGACGATGGAAGCGGCACGGCGAGCGATTGGAGAGAGCGAGTTACGGAAGCCCGTGTCGGCGCGGAGGGCGGATTCCTGGTCCTGGAGGCGGACGCTGCCGGCGGTGAACTGCCGCAGGAAAGGTTCATCTGGCGATGGAATCTCCTGGGCTAGTTGAGCGTAGTCTTCGTCTGATAGGGACATGTTGAGGGTTGGCAGCAGCAGGCTGATGGTATCGACGGGAGCACGTCGGATGACGATGTCACAAAGTTGACTCGCGGGGGGTGCTGCTGTCGGGCCAGGATGACTGATCTCCACGGGAACTCTTCCGAACTAATCCCAGGCAAGAAGGCCAATTCGATTTGCTGATTGCATGAGATTATATCTGACCGATATGCTCCTGGATGTGTGGATGAGTTGAGATGCTGGTGTCTCACCTCTTGGAGACCAGTGACGTCGGATGGTGGGGTGGTGTTTACACCGAGAACCTCGGTCTATCCGCCCAGAAGACTTCGGTGTAAGCCTCGGTGAACCCCCTATTCCAGTCTCCCTTGCCTCGGTAGGTAGGTAGGAAACCTGCGAAGGAAAATTGTCTTGCATTGCCACGCATTGTCTGGCATTCACAATATCCAAGTGACTATGTACCCTAAATTAGGCCTGAAGCTGCAGATCTTCTCTGTTCGCGTGGCTGCCGCCTCTCCATCCTGCTCGAGGATCAGTCTTGCTCTGAAGGCCCTTTTCCTTCCCAGGAGCACCCCATCCACCACCCCCAGGGGTATTAATGATGATGCGATCACCAGGCTTCATCGGCGCGCTGTTCTTCGCACCAAGGTTGAACCTCCTCTCTTCGTATTCCACCTGTTCTTCATTCTCTTTCTTGTCGTCGGTTCCCTCTTGCAGCCTCTTCAGCGACTTCTCCCAGCTTCCTTTCTCGACCTGTCGGACCCAAATGTTCTGTCCCGACTGGCCATCCTCGCCGCCCGCGAGACCGTACGGCCGGTACACCCTTCTTTCACTGAGAATAGAGACTTGCACGGGAATGCGGAATTCGATGTCCCTGATCACACCGTCTCCGCCATTGTGCTGGCCCCTGCCGCCAGAGCCTTTGCGGAGCGAGAACTCCCGCAGCAGCACCGGATATCGCCTCTCGAAAACTTCAGAGTCAGTGATGCGCGTGTTGGTCATGTGCGTGTGTACACCGCTGGTGCCCTCCCACGTGGACCCTGCACCACTGCCACCTGCGATTGTCTCGTAGTAGCCGAAGCCCTTGACGACCTTGTCCTCGCCGCCGATGTTTCCGCCAAAGCCAAATGTCAAGTTGTTGCAGTCCCCCTGGCTGGCGGCACACGCCTGGAAGGCCTTGAAAATGACATCAGTGACCCGCTGGCTCGTAAGGACGTTGCCTCCCACCACAGCCGCCTTGTCCGAGGGCGAAAGCAGGGAGTGCGGCGGGATCTTCACCGTGATGGGCTTGAGGCAGCCCTGATTCAGGGGTATATCTTCCGAGATCAGGCATCGCAGACAATAAATAATGGCGCTGTAGCTCACTGCCTCTGGCGCATTGATGTTTCCATAGACCTCTGGGCCTGTGCCTTCAAAATCAAAAACGGCTTCTCCCTTGTCAGCGTCTATTGTGATTTTCAGCTGAATAGGGCTGCCGTCGTCCATAAAGTCGACGGCTTGTAAGGCTGCACCCTCGAACCGCTTGCTGACCTCCTTGAGTAGGTTCCGGACGCATAGCTCAGCGTTGTTCTGAATGTGTACCATGTAGAACTGGACCGTCTCTTCGCCATACTCATCTATCAGACCCTCAATCAGAGAGATTCCCTTCTGGTTCGCCGAGACTTGTGCGCGGAGGTCGTTGATGTTGTCCGCCAGACAGCGTGTTCCGCTGCATCCTGGGTATTGAGCCGGCTCGGTGTAGAGCAGCTCAGTCACACGCTTTTCGTCAAAACGCCCTTCACTGACGAGTTTTTCGCTCTTGATAGCTGCACCTTCCTGAAACAGCTCGCGCGAATGAGGCGGCATGCTGCCGGCTGTGATGCCACCGATATCAGCGTGATGGGCTCTGGAGGCAGCGTAAAACAGGATCTTGTCGCCCGCGGCATTGAAAGCGGGCATGACCAGCGTAATGTCTGGGAGATGTGTTCCGCCATATGAAGGGTGGTTCGAAATGATCACGTCCCCCTTCTTCAGGCGACCCTGCCAGATCTCGGCTTGCCTCCTGACGCACGTTGACATGGATCCCAGATGAACAGGTAAATGGGGCGCATTTGCAACCAAGCCGCCTTTGGCATCAAATATTGCGCAGGAAAAGTCAAGTCGTTCTTTAACATTGGTGCTGACACTTGTCTTCTGCAGCGCGCGTCCCATTTGCTCAGCAATGGCCATGAATCGGTGGCCAAAGATGCTGAGCATGATGGGGTCAACCTCTTTGTCGGCCTTCTCCTGGTGCTGCCTGCGAAGACGTTAGCGACTGGATGAAAAGATGACAAGTGGCCATCATACCCATCCTTAGAAGCCCCCTTATCAAGATCGATGACCACATGGGTGTCAAGGATATAGGCAGTAGTCCCAGGTGTCACCACGATGGTTTGCGTACCATCTGCCAGCATGGCCGGACCTTGGAGGACATGCCCCGTGTTGAGGTTTTCAAGCTTATACACGGGAGTTTGTTGACGGCCACCCTCATAGTACACCTGCTGGCGATCGTGAACCTTGCTGTCGTCGATATCATGGCGGGTCAGGGTCTTCAGTTGTTGATCGACTGATTTCTCGTGGTGGCGAGAGCTCTTGCCGATGCCCCGCACGCGGACGTCATCTACAATCATGTCGCGATCGTCAAGAGTAAAACCAAATTCGTACCGATGCTGTTTGACAAAGGCACTGCCAAAGTCCCACGTACGTCCATCAAATTCCTTCTCGGCCTCGTCGGCACTCGGTTTCACAATCATGAGGGCGGACTCGGTCCCTCGATATCGTATGTTAAGGTACTCCTCAAATATAATATCGTCGCCTTCGAAACCCTGGTCCTCGAGAGCTTTCCGGGACCGGTCCTTGAGCTTCTCCATCTTGCCCTTCAGCTCGTCGACAATCTTTCCAGGGTATGCCCAGATCTTTGATTCTGGTTCCTGGCGTTCATCGACGACATCGGCAAGGGCCATGCCGTAAGCCGACAGCACTGAGGAGTACCGATGGACCAGAATTTGCTTGATGCCTAGAGCATCGGCGATTGCGACGGCATGCTGCCCGCCAGCGCCGCCGAAAGTGGCCAGTCGATGCTTGGATGAGTCGTGGCCCTTGGCCTCGGTGATCGACCGAATGGGTCTCGTCATGGTCTCGTTGGCCACCGTGAGGAATCCGTACGCGACCTCGTCCACCGTCATGTTCTTGCCAGTCTCGCCATTGACCTGATCGGTCAGCTCCTGCAGGACCCTTTGGCTAGCTTCAGGGTCCAGTCCCTGATCCTCGTTCTTCCCGAAGATCTTGGGGAAGAACTCTGGCAAAAGTCGGCCGAGGTAGAGGTTTGCATCTGTCACAGTCGCCGGGCCTCCTTTTCGGTAGCACGCCGGGCCGGGATGCGCTCCAGCCGACTCGGGGCCCACGACAAACAGTCCGTTCTTCCAGAACAGTCTCGACCCGCCACCAGCAGCAACCGTGTTGATGTCGAGCTGAGGCGATTGGATAGTCACACCCGCCGTCGTCGTCTCGAAAACGTGCTCGTACCGGCCTTCGCCGTAGCGGGAGACGTCTGTGCTGGTACCACCCATATCGAAGCCGATGACGGGAATCTTCGTCTCTTCGTCATAGGAGGTGACAGCGTAGCCAACAACGCCACCAGCAGGGCCCGACAAGATGGCCTTGAGCCCGGTGAACTTTTCGACGTCCACTAGTCCACCATCGCTCTGCATAAACTCGCACCGGGCTCCCTTGCTGCCCTCGTCTTGCTGAACGCTCCTTGTGCCGAGGCCGCCCTCGAAGCCGGCCTGGAAGCCAGAGATGTACTTCTTGATGGCCGGCGTCAGGTAGGCATCGGCACAGACAGACGTAGCTCTTGACACGAGCTTGATCATGGGCATGAGTTCGTGACTCAGCGACACGTGCTCAAACCCAATGTCCCTCGCCAGTCTACCGACCACGGCCTCGTGGTCGGGAAACGTGTAGCCGTGCATGAAGCAGACGGCCACGCTCCGGATCCCCTTGTCAAAGACCTGCTGAAGCTGGCTCCTGATGCCATCTTCCGCCGGCCGACGGAGGATACGAACCGCCTCGCCAGACGTGCCCTGCACCAGCTCGGCGTCCGCCGCCTCCTTGGTCCCAGCCGGGACGTCCACCTTTGTGACCGTCCTCTCGGGATCCTCCGCATAATCCTCCAGCGTCACCCGCTCGTCGACTTCGACAACCTCTTCATAGAGCACATCGGGCTTCCGTATGGCCAGGTCGAAAATCTTGGGCCTGCTTTGGTTCCCAATGGCCAGACAGTCGCGGAACCCCTTGGTGACAACAAGTGCGATACGCTCGCCCTTGCGCTCGAGCAGGGCGTTCGTAGCGACTGTCGTGCCCATGCGGATGGAATCTATGCGGCCCGTGTCAAGGGCGGCCCCGCGCGGGATCTCACGCTCCAGAAAGTGCGACATGATGCGGCGGATTCCCTCGAGCGGGGCGTCGGCGTAGTTGGCCGGGTCCTCGGAGAGCAGCTTAATGATGATCTCGCGCCCGTCCAGCTCGCCGACGCAGTCTGTGAAGGTGCCGCCACGGTCAATGGCGATGCGGACGCCGCGGGGCCGCATCGTGGTTTCGCTCATGATCGGCAGTGATAGATAGGTTCAGAAGCAAGCTAGCGAGACTCGTTGGATCAATCGGGATGTAGTGGTCTTCTGGTCTGGGGAATAAACAAGTTGCCGATTTTGACGTGCCTTGGGAACTTCAATGTATCGTAATTATGGCCAGCCTTTTAACGACATCGAAACAAATGGGAAGCAGAAGGTATATGGGAAGCAATTACAAATCCAGGTATGGGCAATGCCGATGTCATCACACACAGGCAAGGCAGTCGCCGAGGCCGTCACCGGAGAGGGGCGCAAGTAAGCTCTTATCAGCAGCGTGCTTGCCTTATCTGACAGCGTGATGGAGAAGGAGATCTGTACCCCGCCGCAGTGCCTAGGTAGGTACCTACCTAGGTACCTCTAGGTACCTAGGTAGCTTGTTAGGTACCTTTCCCGGTACCTGGTTTTCATTCGAACATTGCCAGTAGCTTCATCAAGTACCGCGAACGTCAAAAGCTCAGCAAAAATCTCCATGGCCATGGTGCGTGCCTCACTTGCCTCTGTAAGAGAGAGCTCGGTCAACAAACTTGTCATACTAAAACAAATATGGATTAAACATGGTCGCTGTGCGAGAAAAAGAGAACTAGTGTATCGTCTAGCAACCTTGCTTCATTGCCTCATCCTGGCAGACCTGCCCCCCCCCCCCCCCCCCCCCCTGAAATCCGTTCCATCGCCCATTAATAAATACTATATGTCGCCGTGCTATACAGCCCCTAGTCGTACACATCAAGAAATTCATATCGTAGCATTACGCATGCGTCCGCTCAATGCGTCACGACCCTGACGGCCTGGAGCAGAATGCCAAACATCAGACCCCGCGCTACCTCCTCCAGCTGGAGGCAGTCAAAGATGCGTCCCAGCGCATCCGTCGTTGCGGCTTGACCCATGACACCTGTGAGAGCAGCCGGCACGCCGCGCTCGATGAGCATCCGCCGCGCCTTGATCCGCAGCTTCTCCTTCTCCTCAAGTGTCATCTCAGCCGGCCAGCTTGCGCGCTCTTCCTCCGTTGGCATCGTGTTCTCGCGCATCTTGCGCAGGTGATGCGCCAAACCCGCGTCGCTCGTGTTGGCCTCGATCACCGACTCCTGCATCATTTTCTGGATCGACAGAAGAGACGGGTTGCCGGGCCGCAGGAGGAACGATTTGGCCGCCGCCAGCAGCGTGCGCCGAATGTTCCATGCCGAGGAGAGTGTGTACATCTCGTTGATAACGGCGAACACGAGCTCGACCGCCACATGTGTCTCCTGCTCTGACAACTGCGCGTATTGTCGAACGGGTTTCGGCGCTGTCACCGTCGCCGTTACCGTCGCCGCTGCCGCCGCCGAGGGCGTAGTGGGGCTGGCCACGGACGCTTTCTGCGTGTGCGTTTGGGCCAGCGGAGACGTGACGCTGTTGGATGAGTTTTCCCTCGTCAGGCACAGCTCACGAGCCTTCAGGTGCGTTTCGCCATTGCTCGGAACAGACTGGAACGCTTGCTGTTCGTCAGCTGGCGTGGGGAACTTCATGCCGTCAAGGCTCAACGTCGATGGTGACCGCAGAGGCGATCGCAGCGCGGCCAAGCTCGATGCGCGGCTATGCTCGCGGCTGCCGCTCAGCGCACTCGGCACGCCCCTCTCCCACCGGTCGACCCTGGGCTTCAGGCCCTCGGCTTCCGATTCGCCGCGCGAGTCGTAGCTGGGTCTCCTCTCCATGGGTGCCATCATGCCGGGCTGTACCGAGACAATGGACGACCGCTGGCTATCGAGGCTGTCTCTCGTCTTGCGAGACGTCCCTGGCGACATGACCTGGCTGTTGAGGCTGGTTGTGCTTTCCATGCGCGGCGCGGACCCCAGCGACAGGCGGTTTGGCTGCACCTGGACTTCGCTGATGGAGGCATTCGTCTGCCTCCGCGGCCCCAGGCCGATGGTGTTGAAAACTCCGGTAACGCCACCAAAAACAGCTTTGCCTCCTTCCATCGCACCCTTGGACCCTAGCGAGAGCACGTCTGTCATGTTCTTACTGAACGCATCCCAGCCGAGGGACCCGCCTTTGGACTCGCCACGAGAGTGTCCGTTTTCCTTCTCGAGGAAACGCTTCATGCCCTCGCTTTCGGCCAAAGGTTGGTACCAGCACGCGTCCCGCACGTAGCGCTCGAGCTCGCCTCGCAGAGACGACCTCGAGTGCAACTTCCAGTTGGGAAGCGTTGTGTGCTGTTCCGTGAAAGCTGTCGCTCCCGAGATTGTGGCTATGCGTCGCAGAATCTCGTGCAACGTTTCAAAATCAGAGTACTTGCGCACAATCATCCAGCCGGCATAGTGGGAAGATGCAGGCTCTATCTGCACGAGGTAGTCCCAGGTCGGCTTGCTCCGAATGCGGGCATTGTCAGTGGGCGCATCGTCGTGCAGGACAATATTGGCATTGTGCAGGGTCAGGAGAGGTTTGCGAGGGCCCTCGCCCGGCGCCTCTGGCTCGTCCTTGGCGGGTGGCACAATCTGGTCAAACGTGGTGAACTGGCCATTTGTGTCATTCTCCAGCTGTTTCGGGGATGACTCTCGGCTTGACATGTCGGCGGTGGATCGAGGTGTAATGGGCGACTGCAGACTCTCGCGCTTGCTCGAATTGTCGACGGATGGCTTATCCATGGATGTTTCTGAGCGTGGGGAGTTCTCCCCCGAAGTAGAGCTGGGTCGCTGGCCATTGGTTTCGTTTGATGCTCTGCCTTCGCCAGCCTGGGCAGGCTTCTCGGATGTCGAGGCCGTCGCGATGGTTTCTTTTGGAGATTGGCATTCCGCCTGAGCTAGAAGGGCGTTCATGCGCTTCATTTCTTCCATTGCCTCTTCCATTTCCTCGTCTGCTTTGCTCAGTTTCTTCCTGTGCATAGACTCCTTGCGTCTAAACTTTTCGAGGTCAAATGAGTTGCGGTTGCCCTTGGCTAGCGAGATGTTGCCGACATTGCCGTCAAAGTCCGCAAAGAGGTTGTTGTTCATAGTGTTGGCATCCGGGCCGGTCTGCATGCCGACGTCAATAGCCTGGCTGAAGTCGGGCTCGCCAGCCTCGAGCAGGTACACGATCCAGCCATTAATCCATTCGGGCTTGGAACACGTCTGCAATGATGTTTCCAAAACGACACCTGCAAGGATCTCCCGGAGAAATATGCGCGCAGGGTCGCATTTATGTGTCTGTCGGTCGAGGTATTGGAGCAGATCTTCGGCGACCATGCGAAATTTGGTCGCCTGCTGCGTTTGGCTGAGGAGGCTGGAGAGACTCGAGTCGGGGTTTTCGGCGAGATACTCATAGATTGCATCTGCTGCAGTCACATTGGATTCGGCTGATACATCGGCAAAGGCGGCGGAGAGTTCGGACAGAAAAACAATGGCGATGGAGCTGGTGTTGGTTAGGAAGTCGAGGAAAGAGTCGGCTGGGCGTTTGCGGTACAGAGCATTTGAGACGGAGAGAAGGAATGAGTTGAGGACCTTTCTGCAGGCCAAGGGAAAAGACGAGTCGCCTGGAAGGATAGGGGAGTACCACCATTTGATGTAGTCCCGCACGACAGCGTCGACGAAGCTGGACAAGGCGTCGCGGGTCTCCGGCTTGAAATCGTCAAATGTGTTGATGAGGCGTTCCTCCTCCGCCTCTTTGATTTCCTCAGTCTTTGACTCGGGGGTCTTCTCGAGTCCCAGCCTTTGCAGAACCTCCACACCTCTTTCGCCGCGAACAGCTCGAGAGATCTCGGGGTGGCGTGCTTCGTAGGAGATGAACAGGACTACGCCGCCGAAGGCGCCAATAAGGACGAGCCCGAGCTTGCCTAGTGCGAGATATGTGGCCGCGGCCAACCCAAGACCGACACCAGTGAGTGTCTCTGCAGTAGCTGTCGAAAGAAACTTCAATGTCTTCGCGAGGAGGTCGTCGTCGGAGGCGCCGGAATGGTCGGGAGCAGTGGTGGGGGAAGGAGGGGTTGGCGAGGTCGAGTCTGGTGCTGCAGTCTTCATCTTTTCGACTGATGCGACTGGGGGTTCTGCGGCGGGTGCTGTATTCGTGTCTTCGGCAAGTAGCACACCAAAGGGAGCTTCGTCTGGGTTGGAGTTCATGGCGAAGGTCTTGTTGGTAGTGTCGCGTGCTCAGCGAGGCTTACATCCCCATACTCCGACGAGTGGTAGTAATGCGACACCAAGTTGGCCAGAAAACGGATGCACACGTTGAAGGATGGGTCAATGATAGCGCAATCGGGGTAGAAAACAGTTTGTTGAAGACTGTGGAGTGAATCTTTGGTGTTTCGGAGTGCCAGGGTTCGCCCCGGAAAGCTTGAAAGGTCTGATCGTGGAGGGCTGATGGGAGCCAGGAGTAAAAGGGGGATGGTTGCTTGTAACACGCAGATTCGAGATTTGGGGGTGGTTTGGCGGGTGGTTCCTCAATCTAGCAGCCCACCTAGCTCCCTCTTGGCGTGCTCTAAAAATGGGATTGCCGGTGCGTGTTGGTGCGTGCCAGAAGCTCCAGTCCCTGTAAGGCCAGCCACGTCGAGTCACGCTTATTCATTCCAGCGCGTTTCCCTCCACTGCCAAACTCGCATGTCGGGTGCCTCAAGGTTGGTATGGACGGCTGTTCTATCTGGCCCTCGAGTCAGACATGGAATCGCAAGCAAGTATAGCTCAGAAGTGAATCAGATCAGCGCGGCTGGTACCTAATGCATGAACTCAGACAGAATGCATTCAGGCTTCTTTCTGTCTGGGCGCATCGTGGCTGCCCTGTCAAAGGGGGGACCCCTGATCTGAAACGCCTCTCTAGGCATAGTCTTCTGCTGGACGCGGCTGCCTCGTCTGCACCAGCAGGGACCAATATGTACTGTCACGTGTCTAGGCGTCGAGCCTTCCACGTCATTCTTGGCAAGCGCGACTGCCCAACTCAACGCGACGGACATACCGTCAGGTACCTCTTCCCCCTTAGCGAGGCGACGTGCCTCTTACCCCAGATTGACACTATTCAATTCCACCAAACCTCAGGCCCTGTCAATTCCTACATCGGTCATGAGCCAGAGGGAGAATCTGATGTGACACTCTTGCACCAAGACAATCGATTCGACCGATTTCATTGAAATCGTCTGCTTTTCTCGAATAGTCCCTCCCTAGCACCGTTGTTGAGATCCATCGCCAACCGGCACACCGCCAATCTCGACGCGCCATCCATCCCAGTATCGACAATACTCGATCCATTATGGCAGGCGCAAAGGGCACCAAGCGCAGCGTCTCGCGCATCGACGACAGTGACGAAGACGGTCCTATTCTCACCAAGCCTATCAAGAAGACCAAGACCACGGCCAGCGCCACCTCGGCCGGCGCCGGCAAGGACAAAGATGGCAATCCGTACTGGGAGCTTTCTTCCAAGCGTCGCATCGGCATCTCAAAGTTTAAGGACATGACCATGATCAACATCCGCGAATACTACCAGAAGGACGATGATATGCTGCCAGGGAAGAAGGTAAGCCTGCGCCCTCCCTTTCCATCCCCTCTCCTCGATGCCGCCTTCGAACCCAATCCCCTGAACAGCCCCCGCGCTGACATGTCATCCAGGGCATCTCTCTCTCGCTCTCCCAATTCGAGGCCCTCCTCAAGGCAGCGCCCGCTATCAGCGCCAAGCTTCGCGACATGGGCCACGATGTCGAGGACTCCGAGGATGCGGGCGGCGCGTCCACGCGCGAGGACGCCCCTAAGAAGCCCAGGGTCACGGCGCCACCGAAGCAAAAGAAGGATAATTTTGAGGCCACAAGCGACGAGGAGGAGGAGGATTAAGAAACGTGCTCAATTTCAATCCTGGTGGGTGTTTGACGCATATGCCAACGTTGCCAACTGACGTATATACAAACTCTTGCACAATATTGCCTTAGTATCACTTTAGTACGCCTAGGCCACGATTTAATGACGACAGACGAGCTGATGATCCATTTTTTCTTGATGTATGGAGTTCAAAAGTAAATACGTTGAATGCGATGCCTTCGATGCCCAAGCAGCCGAATACCACTTTTCGAAGTGTCATACGCAAAGTACAGAGCAACAGCGGACGCAAGCATCAGTCACCGAAATTTTATTCTTTGGGGATAGCCCATTTCTCAAGTTCGCGTTGCGCAAACTAGCACGCAAGGCAGAGACTGCCCAAATGGTCTTAAGCTCCGATCTTGAAGAACTTGTCATCAAACTCCTCCTTGAGCTGGGTGAATGCCTTGAGCACGTTGGGCAGGTTTTCTTCGTCCTCCATGTCGCCATCGCTATCAGTCTCTTCGTCGCCTGATGAGCCCGACGCCTGTGCAGCCTCTTCGTCGTCATCGTCATCCCAGTTATCGGCGACCTTCTTCTTCTTGCGAATAGGCAGAGTCTGCGTGACAGGCGCAGCGGCAGCCTCCGCGACAGACGCCTTGGCAGGGCGCTGCGTCTGCTGCGATGGCATGAAGTTGACCTCGTCCTCCGCAACACCCTCGTCCAGCTCGCCAAGTTCCTCGGCGTCCGCATCGGCGCGCATGTAGTTCGTCAGGCTCGTCACGATGGTTGCAAGGACGACAGAGAAGTCCTTGAGGAAGAACCAAACATCGCCGCCCTTGATGCGGTTGTCGCGGGTCAGCGCGACGAGGTCGCCATGCTTGAAGAAGTCATAGATGTACGCGTTGAGGCGCTCATCGGAATCGATCGGATACACAGGAACGTGTGGGATCGTCGCCTCCTCGAGGAAGACGCCTGCACGGACTGTGGAACACAGATCGTGTACCGAGCTGAGACTCTCATCTGTATGACCAGAGAGCGCGGCGAAAGTGGAACGGATCGAGGGGCTGGGTGTACGGTCGAAGGGAGCCTGTCCTTTGGTAGGCTCGTGGGCGCCGACGGTGGTTTTAGTAAAGGGAAGAACGTTGTCAGGGAAGTCTGACAGGTGCTGCGAGGCGTAGGACGTGACGTAACCCTTGAACAAGTTGAGTGTGTCGCGGTTGTGCGACACTAAAATGCGCTCAGCCGCCTTGGGCAGACGTGGGAGGAAAATCACGGACTGCGAGTTGCGCACGATGACTTCCATGTACTCTCGGTCATTGGTCCTGATGACTTGGCGGCCAAACAGGTGTGACATGACGAGTACAAGCTGGTTGAGCACGGCAGCGGGGTTCTCGTTGATACGGCCACAGATGCGGTGGAAGTAACCTCCTTTGAGCAGAGCATGGAACCCAAACGCAGCATTCTCGGTGAAGTAAAGATGGCTCACAAGACTTGAATAGTTGATAGGAGCGCCCTTCTCTGAGAGCAGGTGCTGTCGACGCAGGTACTCGATGGAGAAACGCATGTGATGCTTGATGGCCAACCCGCCCTCGGGGCCACCAAGGTACAGGCGTGATTGCGAAAGCAGTGAGTTGACGGCAGCAGTAGCGAAGTCGGAATTCTTGGTTCCATTCAGGAGACCAAAGAGACGAAGGATAAGAGTCGTCGAGACAGGGAAGTGACCGCGAAGATCAGGAAGTCGAAGTGACATGATCTCGAAGGCGCGGTTGGGAGCAATGTCGGCAAAGACGACATTGCCGAGCAAGTCGAAGCCTCTTCGACCGGCACGACCGGCAGCCTGACGATAGTTCAGCGCTGTTAGGTCAACGGAGTCGCCGTTGAAGATGACAGTCTTGCAAGGCATGTTGACACCCAGCGCGAGGGTGCCAGTGGCCATGACGACTCCCAGGTAGCCCTTGCGGAACAAAATTTCGACCCTTGTCCCTAGTCAGCAAAATCATTTCCCAAAGGGCACTTGGCTAAAGGGGAGGAGATGAACTTACACCTGACGGTACCTTCGATTCATACCAGCGTGATGCACGCCGAGACCCCTCTTGAGAGACTGGACTAGCCATTGATCGACTTTGTCGCTGCTCAGGTCATCTGTCATCTCAGCAAACTCGGTTCGCGATAGTCTCGTGCGATCGCCGAAGCTAAACTGCTCGAGAGGGTCCTCGGGATCGAAACTCTCCCAAGGGCTGACCTCAATGCTAGCATTGGCTTGGGCTGTCTGCATCTTTGAGTTCTTGTTGTCGTCGCGAGAGCCACCCTGCCTGTCGTCCTTGTTGCCGGCTGCAGGTCTGTCCTTTTTGGGCTTGGCCTTTGCCGCCTTGAGCCCGGCTTTCTTCCACTCCTCATAGTCCGCAAGTTTCTGCTTCCACTCTTTGCTCGACTCCTTCCAAGCCGTCTCCTTAGCTGAGAGGTGTGCCAGGACAGTCTTGAGAGCTTCCTCGCATTGTGCGCGGTCGTAATTGAATGCTATGGCGGGCAGACTGTCGTTCTCGTTAAGATCATACAACAGCGGGATGATTGTCGTGCGTTCTTTGAGACGTTTTTCCTGGGAGACGAAATCCTTTTGTAGTTCGACAAAAGCAGATCCCAAGAGTTCGGTTCTTACTGCACTGAATGGCGATTCAGGGACTACCATCCATTGCTGGAGGACCTCCTTCAGCCCAGCCTCCCAACTGAGGATATCAGCCTTGCTGATGATTTCTGGCAACGTACTGCCAGGGTCCAAAGACTTCGCGACCGGGAAGTCGGTAGTCTGGTGCTTGTCCATACACTTCCACAAAGTCCAACAATCGCGAGGCTCCAGGCTGACATCGTCCAAGCTGCCACGATTGATATCGAGCAACGCAGCAATGGGGTGGGTGAAGAAGAAGCGTGGGTTCCTCTCCTCCCCTTGATCGATACCTGGAATTGGTAACTGATCCTGTTTCGCCAAGACATCCATCTTTAGCTGCTTCGGCGGGCAGTAAACGAACTTTCTCAAGTCGGAGTATCGAGCATTGTGGACGACCAGTTCCATTTTGTAGCCCTTTTGGGCCTGCGACGCAGCGAGCCAGTCGTGGAACTCGCCTGCGTTGCCAACCGTGGCGGACAGCGCGATGATGGGGCAAGGCGCAAGTAGCAGGAGTTGTTCCCAGACAATACCGTCTTCGGCTTGGCCGATACAGTGTACTTCGTCGAAGATGATTCTCTTGACGCGACGCGCCCAGGCGCTGGGACGGTCGGAATTGCTTGGGGCAAGCAACATGGTCTGCAGTACATGAGGTACAGTAACGAGGACTTGGCACCCAGTCGGATTGTTCACTCGGTAGTCGCGAGTATGAATAGCCCATACAGACTTGCCTTCTCTAGTGTATGACTTTGAATACCTCGCCGCGACTTCAGCTGCGATCTGGTTGACCAATGCCTTGGTGGGGGCGACATAGACAAGGACATCGTCATCATTGGCCTGGAGGATCTTCTTCATCGCGTAGAATGAGATGAAAGTCTTACCGGCAGAAGTGGGCGCGACTACCATCAGACTGTTATTGGCATCGATAGTATCGAGAACCTTTCTCTGCCAGGCATCGGGATCGAAAGTTACTCTGTCATCGGGCTTCGAGTCGAAATTGCGTTCCATGTAAGGTCCTGAGTGCTCAAGCTGAAACTCGGTCAGATTCAGAGGTATGGCGAGGTCCTTGTTGGACGCCTTGATAGAAAGTTTGAAGCTCAGATCGCGCGAGGCGGTCTCGTTCTTCACCAATTCGGGGAATGGAAGGTTCACGCAGGTCTTGATCAGATCAACGGCTTTGAGAACCTCAGGGGTTGCGTTGGGAGACCGCGCGATATAGAGCAGCCTGTCCCAGAGGAGAGCCACAATGTCAATTCCTGCAACGCTGTCAGTTTGGTCCACCGCGTACTATTAGGTTCAGTGCATACCCTTGAGTTTCCTCTTGGTGGTCTCGCATCGCTTCTTCCACATGAGAACAAGTACATTGCACATGTAAAGGTAACCCTCCGGGCCAACAACAGCCAACGCCTCTGAGGGTCGATTGTGGATATACCTCAACGCCTTACCATACCGCTTGACGAGATTCTTCTCCTCGTCTAGCTCGGCAATGGTTGACTTCCAGTGTTCGATGGCCGTGTTTCCCTTCTTCTCATGCTTCGACGCCTGGAGGGCCTTCGCCGCTGCAAGCGCTTTCGCCTTACCCCCGCCGACTTTCTTCGCCTTCTCGACTTGCTTAGCAACCTTTGCTTGGTTGCCTGTACCGGAGACGACAACTTCAGGGTCTATGATTCTGCCGGTTGCGTTGGTGAGTGAAGCGGAATATGTGACGATGTCCGCCATAAGCTTCTGATGACGCTTTTTCGCCCAGAAACCGAGCTTCGGGGGAGGCTTGCGAGGATCGACAGGCTTTTTGTCTTTGTTCCAGTTGCTCAGCTCTTCGAAGATGCTGGCTGCCGTCGTCGACTTGGAGGATCGTGCGTCAGGTCGGACCTGGACAGAGTCGAGGTGTTTGTCAAAGACTGGATGAGAGAAAGGAAGGACAGATGTGTTGCGGTCCTGGGTTGCCGACTCCTTTGCCCCCTCCTCGTCATCCTCATCTTCGTCATATTGGGGAATGGACGAGACTTTGGACTCATCGGTAGCCTCGGCAAGTGCTTTCCTCAGCAGATTCGCACGGGTTAGGACTCTCAAAGAAATAGAGTCACTGGCATCCTCGTCCTGTAGAAGGGTAGCCAAGATATTACCATCAACTAAATCGTAAATATCCCAGGTCAGGTTGTCAAGCGATGCATCTTGGGACAGACCCTGAATAATATCGCGAGCCGTCCTAAAGAATTTGTCCAAGAAAGATGCTCGGGTTCCGGCCACTGCCTTTGAGGCGTTGCCGCAAAGCCTTTCGGACAGACTGGACGCACCGAGTAAGGCGGTGTGGAGTAGGAGCGCGGCAGCCTCGGATCCATAGTTGCCAGACTGCAAGATCTGTTTGAGGGTAGCAATAACTACTAGCTCGCGCACGGTGAGTCTATCTGCTGATTCGCCAGCGATGTTTTTCTCGACGAGAGGCGTTTTGATCTGGTCGATCAGAGAGATCAAGGCCGCGTTTTCAGCGGATTGAGAAACGCCTTCGGGCAGGTCGAGAACAGCAAGTCTTGTGTTTGATCCCGAAATGAGGGTTGTGAAAATCTGTCCGAGTTAGTGCGAGCCCATGATTGTGACCCGGTATCAGTATCAACATACCTTGGAGCTCATGAACTGGACGTCATTGATGACGGCCACATGATACCCCTCGGATACGAGCCTGTAGATGAAATGCCTCAGAACGACGGTCCTTCCGGCACCTACACTCTCGTCGTTCTCGCCATAGGACGTGCCCTCGTTACAGAGGAAGAAATGCACAGCATTCTCAGCACGGTAGCGACGGAAGTCCTCAGAGTCAAAGTCGTCAAAGACTGTGACATTGGTTCGACGTTCAGAGACGTTCCCTACGTTCCTCGCGTGCCGTTTCAGGTGCTCGATCAGAACGGTTCTCGCCAGTGCGAACTTGGCCGTCGCCATTGAGGCGTTCTCAGCCGCGACTGACTCAGGAAGTACCGCATTTGCATGGGCATTGAAGAAGAGGATGTCGAAGTTGCAACCTCTCTGCCTCAGCTCGTCGAGGAATTGCTCCACAGCGTAGACGGCGTGAAGGAGCTGCATACCATCTTGGAAGTCAACTTTGGCTTCGGTGATGCAGTGTCTCAGCAGGCCCTCGCCATGAATGACGAAAAGCTCCCTGCCAGCGAAATCGCCGACAATGTCGACTGTTCGAGGAAGGAGATTTGTGTACCAGAGGCGCAAGGTCTCGGGGTCCGTGTGCTCGCCAGAAGTGGTGGACGCGGTCTCTTCATCGCTCGAATCAGTGTACTCTTCACCTGACGAGGTGTCACGCTCGTCCTCTTCAGCCATGATGGGTGCGAAGTGGTAGGTGAGAGCTGCGATGATAGCTGTTGAGGGGTTGGGTTGTGGAGGTCGTTGGAGGAAGGCAGGGAAAAGCTGGCAGCTGCCTGTTTGGTCGTTGGGTTAAGCCGCTAGCGGAGTTCAGAACGCACAACAATCAATTTATCGGGCAGAGTTGACACAGAAGAAACGCGCTACACTTCTCAAGAGACAATGACTGTTTCTTATTTCTGAGTGGGGTAGAGGTCGCGTTGTTGACCTGATGCGCGCCCGGTAAGAAAGGGGGCCAGGTTGAGTGAGAGTTGCAGAGAGAGCAGAGGCGAGGTGTTTTTAAAAACGAAACGGACCCTCTTCTCGTCTGGCCCGGTGTTCTCGTGGGCGGTGAGGCAGACAAAGAGGAGGCCTAGAGGGCAGTGACCTGTAAGCAGGCAGGACGGTACTGCGTGTTGGGCGGACTGTCGTAGGCGCTACATATGTACTAAGCTAGGTAACCCAGTAGAAATGGGCTTCCTGTGAACTCCGATATACCTGAATCCACTCTTCCGCGTCTACTGTCGATGAATCAGCCTCGACTAAATACAAACGTCTGCTGTACGTATCGAATGCACATCTCCACCAGTGGCAGGCAGTTGTAGTCCAGTCAAGATGCCCGGATATCAACAAACAGTGGGCTCTGCAGGAAGATCCGTTTTTCTTTGCAGCCGTCGCCTCACTTTGCATCTCTGGCTTGAAGAGTAAGTCCGATGATGCTTGCTCCCAGAGCGTTCAATCGCAATACAACATCCCGAGGGGAAGCCAACCTCGTCTCCACAGCATACATGCATTCGCTATCGGGCGTGTGGAAAACCTCGTCTCCACAGCATACATGCATTCGCTATCGGGCGTGTGGAAAACCTCTTCCCCGTGTGCAATGCGAGAAGTGGCATGCCTGTGGAACGCTTTATCAATCCCGCCCATCTCGCCGAGGAACGTCAACATGCAAACAGAATTTGCATGTCTTGAGTAGTCGATCGACTGCCCGTGCTACTCGAGTCACTGCATCACTTCAATAAGAAAGTCAAATATAGATGCCGACGAGCTTCAAACCTGCAGCGGACAACCCAGAAAAAAAATATTCCCTCATTCATCGTCAGTCATGAAAATCTAACACACCCATACGTTGATCAGTCGATATCAGGAAATCCAATCATTAGTCATAGTCCAGTCCCTTTCTCTTTGTGTGCCTTCGGCTCCTGCGCTGGCGGTCATCCAAAACCTCATTCCCTCCACCACTCTGCAAGCCCTTTACAAGGTCCTGCAAAACATCTCCCCAGTTCTTGCGGCCCGAAACCAACCCTTCCACGTCACCCATGAGCCTATGCACGACCTCATTGTCGGTTCCTGTCGCAGCCCATGAACCATTGACATTCCACTTTCCTTGGTCGTCATTGCGGGGTCGGTACTCAAAGCTCCCGCTTTGGTATTTGGGGCCCCGCGAGGTCACGCCCCTGCCATCTAATGGTCGTCCATGATCGTCAAATCTGTCCGGCAAGTCCTCAACGTCGTTGTCAACCTCAGACCTGCGACCGCGGCATGCTATAGGCCGGTTTGGGGTGGGATCTGAAGAGCGGCGTCGCAAAGGAACCGGACGAAGAGCTGCCAGCTGTGCCTCGCTGAGTACTGGTGGCTCAAACCCTTCCTCGACACTGTCTGTAGCAGACTCTTCAGGTTGATGCTCGTGGACTTGTCGATGTCGTTCCAACGTGAAAGATGACTTAGGCGACAAGGGACCCCATGTGACGGATTTCGTAGCAGCTGTGGACGCAGCCATGGACATGGCATCCGCAGACCTCATCGCTTCCGGGGACGATGCTATTGATGCCGACCGTCTTTCTCGTCGCCGAGGCGACTGCCTCCTCAAACCATCTGCGGGCATGATCAGCGCAGGAACGGGCAGGTGATATGCAGTGCTAAATCACGCGAAAAACACGGCAGCATTGCACTTAGATCGACGCACCCTCACGCGTGGCAATCGGCGGCGCCGCATTTCGGGAGACTGAGTCTTTGGGAGTGGTGGTGTGAAATGTGTCATCACTCACATGATCGGGGCCAAGCCTGCCGCCTGCTGGGGGCGGGCCACCACCGATGGGGGGAGGCCCGCCTGGATACGACAACGGAGGTCCGCCTGGGGTTGGCGTTGGGAAGCCTCCCGCAGCTCCTGAAGCAGTCGGTGGCCCGCCCGGCTGTGGAGGCGGGAATCCAGTGTACGCGTGAGGGCTGTAAGGCGGGTACGGGTCATTGACAGACTGGTTTTGAGAAAACCCAGATCCAGTGGGCGGAGGGTAGTAGGCACCACCTGAAGCATGTGGTGGAGATGGCGGACGGCTGTAGTCGTCATAGTGAGGATTGGGGTTCGATTCTTCTTCGTAACCTGTGAGCGTGTCAGTACATCATGATGGTGCGGCGCCACAAGATGAGGGCTGGTAGAAACTAGGATCATGCATACGTCTGCGATCTTCGTCTCGCCTTCGTGAGCGGTCTCGAGAGTAGTCACGAGACAGAGACCTTTCTCGCGCCCTGCGAGCGGCTTCATCCTCCCTCTCCTTCTCCGCATCCTTCTTCTTCTTGTACTCCTTAATGCCGATGGCCGCGGCGCCTGTACCGACAGCGGCTGCCGCCATGTCTCTTATCCGGCTGCGGCTTCGCTTCTTACCCTTATCCGATCCGGAAGGGGAATAATCGTCGGCACCGCGACCTCGTGAGCGTCGCCGCCTCCGCTGGCTCGAAGCCGACTCGTAGCCGTAATCGTTGGTCGGGTACGGGGGCTGCGAAGGAGGGAGTGGGTCGGTGCCGTACTCAACCAGACCTATCGGGCCATCAGTTCGCGGCTCGGAGTAGAGGGATCTGGCCTGTGACCTGCTACGAGACCGACGTCGAGCGGCTCGGTCTCGACGACGTTGCTCTTCTTCGTACTCTTCATCGCTCAGCTCCCGTTCCTTAGCCTCCTTCTTATCCTTGCGACTGTGCCACAGCTTGCTCGCGGCGCCACCTGCGAGACCTGCAGCGACGACCTCTGCGCCTTGCCGGATTCGAGATTTGGACCGTGACCTGCTTCGCGAGCCCGACTTGTTGCGGAAGTGCTGGATCAAACCAGTCGCAGCAGCAGTGGCAGCTGCCGCCTTGGCAACGGACTTGCTGCGGCTCTTTTTGCGCGCGCTTCGTGATCTGGAAGACGAGTAGCTGCGGTTACGTGTCCGGCTACGTCCGCGACTCGCCTCTTCTTTGTCAATTTTCTGGTTTTGGTAGTACTTAGCAGCACCTGCAATGGCCAGGGCGGCGGCGGCGACGCCTAGGCCCGTCTTGATCTTGGATCGGGAGGATGATCTGCTCCGCGACCGATAACGGTCATCATATCGTCGATCATCGTACCGGCGGTCGTCATATCGCGGGTCGTCGTATCGTGGGTCATATCTGTCTTCATGACGATGGCGAGAGCGGGATCGATTGTCGCCATATCGCTCGTCAAACGCGCTGCGTGCTCGTTTGAAGACTTCGGTGCCAAGACCTCCCAGAGCGGCGCCCGCCAGGACCTTGCGACCACGGTTCGGGGCGATCTCGCCGTGATCGTCGCGTCGACTAGCCAAGAGGGCAGCGACTCCAGCACCAGCCAAGGCGCCTCCTGCGAGATGGCGGCGGTGAGTGTCTGGGCTCGGTGAGCGCTCCTTGATAATGGTTTTCCTCCTGACCCAGTACTCCTCGTCGCCGCTCCCGTAGCCCCTGTCATATTCACGGTCGCGGTGGTCCCGTCGTTCCAAAGCGTACTCTCGCTCGTCGCGGCGGTAGGGGCCAAGGTCTCTGGTCTCACGACGATAGTAGTACTCGTCATCGCGAGGTTCCCGGCGGGCTATTTCACGCGGTTGCTCCCGCTCACGGACCACCATGACGCCGGGGTTCTCGCGTTGTTGCAGGATGACAGGCGCAGGTGGTGCCGCCTCTTGAACGATAATTTTCTGCGGCTCGGGTGCGGGGCGCTGAATGACAACAGGTGCCTGGGGAACAGGTGGCGGGCTCAGAGGGGCGTAGTATTCGGTTTCCTTTCGGTATCTCTCGATCTCAGGGCCGCCGTGACCTGTATGGTCTTCACGGCGCTCCTCGATGCGTCTTTCGACCTTGATCTCGCCATCATCCCGACGCTCGACGCGCTTGTCGACACGCACCTCCGTCTCTGCGTCTTGGCTATCCCATGGTGCATGGGAACGGCGATCCCAATCACGAGCAGAGTGCGGGTCCCTCTCGCGCTCGACCTCGCGCTCCCGTTCGTAGACTACTGTCCGGCCATCTCGGAAGCTGTCACGGTCTCTGTCGCGCAACCGATCGAGGTCATCCCGAGGCTCAAATGCAGAGCGGGGTCGATCGGGAGCGTAAGCACGGTCGCGGTCGCGGTCGCGGGTGTCTAGGGGCAAAAGGTCGCCAGAGTTTCGGGCAGGGTAAGAGGAATAGTGGGAGCGGCGGTCATCATCGTCAGCATCGACGCGACCGACTCTGCTCGGCGTCACCTTGTACCGACGAACGGTGGTGGTTCGGTAGGCATCTTCATCGTAAAAGTCGTCGTCATGGTAGACTCGAGACGTTTCTCGGTAGGCCATGGCCCTCAGATTGATCAAAGCAGTGCGTACAGAATGTCAAACGGAAGACTGGCTCTGGCGTAGTATTCGGTTGTACAGAGGAGGTGCAAACAGGGCGGTTACTTTGGGGCGAAGGCGATAAAGACAAGCAAGGGTGAAAGATGCAACAACGCTGGCGTATGGAAGGAGTCGAGGAGAGGAGGGGATTTCAGGATGGCTGGGGAGTCATCCTCCTGTCAGAGAGATGCGGCAATGGCTCGACTGTTGTTGGGCTTACAGTACAACACCTGAGCTGGGGAGGGGGGATGCCATGGGGGCCAGGACAGAGGAGGGGGGCCATGGAGGATTCCATTGGACAGGGGGGGCGCGTGTCTTGCTTGTGTCCCGGGCGCATCGGGCTGGGAAGCAGCGGCCGCTGACGACACTGTCCCTCCCTCCCCTTGCCCGTTGCCCCTTCCCCCCCTTTGCGTGCCCTGCCCAAGCCTAGCTCTGGTCTTTCCAGCCTTCTAGCTTGACTTCTTCGGTGAGTGGCCCAACGTCGCTGGAGGGTTCTTCCTTGTTCTGCCCCCTGACAAAGCTTGGTCTGCTGAACCATGCGATGCCCCTGTTGGGCTCGGAATAGTGGAAGATTCACCACACGCAGCCGCCCGAGCCACATAACAAACCACTGGTGGTATTTGGGGGTGACGAGGCTGGCTCGTCGAGCTCGCTGATTACCTACATGTACCTTGGAGCCGTCCGACGTGCATATGGTGGGCCGCCGGCACCGCTGAGAGGCCTGCGCCTGGCTGCGAATGACCCCGCCGCTGCGCACTACCGTCCCACGGGACCACGCGAGAAGGCTCGCAAGGTGGTGGATAGCACCTGATGATGTGTGATATGTCCCCACGCCACTCCTTTGTTGACGCGAAGTCAGAGCGGAAGCGAAACCCACTTGAACAATGCTTTCTTTAAAATGGAGATCGCTGCCGGAGAGCTAGGCCGCCGGCGTAGTTACTTACAAGTGCGGGAGCAAGACTGATGCCCAAGCACCCCGCTTCCAAGTTGGTACGTCATATGTCCACCATTCCAGGCGACCAACTTTCAGTTGCGCTGAGGTAATCAGGCTATTCGTTTTCCGTAGACCCCTGTCAGGGCCGAGAAACTGGGAGGACGAGTAAATGCTTTGCTTCCCCTGGCTTCGTCGGTTGCCGATTTTCCTCGCATGGCCGCACGATGGCGCGGGCGAGACCACGTTTCAACATCTATGTAAACATTCTTGACCATCCCTGTAGCGATTTCAGGCTTTTCGCCCCTAGTCCCCTGGCATGACAGATCAAGAATGGCTCTTCTAGAGTATGTCAAGCTGTACTCCAATCCTACGAGAGGAGCTCATGCAATTACAAGGCAGTCACAACGGATCATTCAGATGGACAATTAATCAAATCTTATTTGGCTACGTATAGATCTCCCCACTTGCTCTGCCAGTGCCTCTCGACACTTGTCGAAGGCTTCAGCGCTCCCAACACGACAAAAATGCAATGGACTTATACCCCGTGCCTGACACGGCGAGCTCTGGTAGCGAACCAGATGTCCGCTTCCGCCCTTCATCTAATAAATGTTTCTGTTATGCGTGTCAGCCAAAGTCTTCCAGCATTCTCTCGATGAAAGCTAGTGTGAAGGTGACATTTCAGGATTTTCAGTGTGATATGGAAGATAATCATAAATAGATTTCATAGACTGTGTAACATATTTGTCTCATCAGGTGACACGGGTAATGATATGGAAGATAGGAAAGGTTGAAACATACCATTTTTTTGGAAAGCCGACTCGAGGCGTAGGTCATGTCCATGAGATAATAGACTCAGTCTGCGCAGTCGAGTCGGCTATTCGTGATGAACTCACTCCAAGATGATCACACGTTCGTGAGGCACGCGGGCTTTCAGCAGCGTTGCGCGTCTTGCTCTGCCTTGCTGTTGGTAAGGAAGACAACCAGACTGTGGGCGAGGGAAGAAGTTTGAGCGACGGAACGGGCAGGTTCTGAAAACTTTTGTAGCTGCGGATCGTGGCTGGTGCGTTAGTAAGCAGGAGCGTGCCGCTTCTGATCAAGGTGGCCAAAGCGCGAGCTGGGGCAGTCTGTTGCAGGCAACATCTCACATCATCACAATTGGATATAGAAGACGTGACTTCCAGAGGAAGCGTAAGGATCGAGATCGCCCTCCTCGGATGCAGACCGCGAGCTTTCGTCTACATTTGCTTTGTTTCTTGGCAAAAAATCATCCTGTTTCCAACGTGGATCCACAGCTTTGGTCAACCGAAAACGCTATACTCGAGAACTGACCTCGGCAATCGTTGTGGAAGCAAACATCAAATGTACCATAACGTTGAAATGTCCCTGCCTCTCTGCCTGTTACAGGCTATGTACAATGGGGACTCCAAACCGCAACCGACCCCTTCAAAAAGAAAAACAATCCAGGACAAGTAGGACATTTCGACGCATGTCAATCCTCGCCCCGTCGACGCCGACGATTCCCCCAGATGAATTGGCATCCTAGTAATCACGTCGCATCTAATTACGACAAGCCATTGATTGCAGCCGCGGACATATCAGGGAAGACACTGGTGGTACCACTCGTTCAGCACCCGGCAAGATGAGCCTGCGACACATCGTGTTGCCCCGCTGTAGTTGTTTCCACCACACTGGCCGTAGAGGGTCTGCGTCGGCTGCGCAGGAGGCGGCGTGGTGGTTGGAGGCAGTACAGGTGGGCTCGTTGTGGATCGGGTAGAGGGCGCTGTTGATGTCGTGCGAGCGGAGACCCATGCGGTGACAGTTCGCCAAACGGTTTGGACGTTTGTGACAGTAGATGTCTGTGTTGTCCATTCGGTGACCCAGACAGTGGCGATCGGCCTTGAGGTTGTCTGAGCGGTTGCTGCGGCGGCAGCAAGAGCCACAGCGAGATACGTTGTGGCGCGCATGGCGAGCTTTGCTTTGGTTGTTGCTGCTGTTGATGATGTGGACTGGAAGCACTTCCCCGCGGCATTGTGATAGCTTCGCGAGCAACAAGGATACCATGTCATTATAGATATACCGACCATCACAGCTGCCATCAAACTGTGCCCGCACGATCTTAGGCAGAAGACGCCGGATTGACGAGCACTATGGGTGAAGTCCCACCCAAACGAGAATGCGACTATGGGCCAGGATAATGACACTGTTCCAGATAGTGACAATGATGTAGGCATCAAATCAGAGGCCAGAGAAACTCCAAGACACTAAATGGAATCTGCCGAAAATCAGTGGGTGGCAGTGTCGCTATTCAATGCCCACCTGTTGCCTGTTTGGGAGTCGGAGACGGCGGGCTGTCCGAATCGAGGAGTGCCCAGGCCCAGATTGGTCGGTTGGAGAAACAGCCGTCACAACTGGAGCAACGGCTATTTATTCTGTGGTACGGCCTCCTATGGAAACAATGTTGTTCATAAAAATTGCATTCGTGAAGGACCAACATCTTAGCATGTCTAAAATGTGAGCCAACACGTATGACAAGTCCGGCTCATTGTGACGCCAGAGAGTCCAGTCAAGGCTGGATCACGTTCGTACCTGTTGGATCATCGTCTTAACGCTCTTTGTGAATTCGTAAGCCAATACTGACATCAGAAACATACAGAGTTGCTCTCTCAAGACAGAGAGCAGAAAGTATTACTACTGCACACCTTTGCCTTGGCGATTGTTGTGATAAGCTGCATACCAGATAACAAGGAACGACTCGAAGAAAGCAGGTAAAGAGGTTCTTTGAGCTCTTCGAATCCTGGTCCTGATGTAACGCCTACATAGGTGTACTACAAGATCGATAGACCTATTGCTATCAAGTCGTTGACCACGTGGCAGTGCGGACTTCCTTAGAACAGCACCAGGCAGATAACAGTGGGGAGTGAGGCGTGCATACGTGGTTCTGGAGCAATCCCAGCCGGCTAATCCCAATTCCTGGGCTTAACAGAGCGTGGCGAGCCAGTTATTGACCTCTTGCCCGATGGGAGGACATGGTTGAGCATGTATCTACCAGAAGCCTCATGATGCCACTTGGGCTAATCTCTCTCCGAGCAAGCGCCATACTCCTCAGCAAGTTCCTAAAGTCACAGCACATACTTGGAACTGGAAGTGGTGCAATGGCCCTCTCATGAGCAGATATGACGGCGTCAAGTCCGCACGTGATGTGAACATCGTGATACAAGCCAAATACTGTGATGGTGTGTAAGGTAAAGACCAAGAGACACCACTACATATCTAAACTTAGTCGGCGCCTCTGATGCTTTGACCTTTCGGCTGACACGCCCAAGGCAGAACCCTTCGGGGCTGGTGATGATCTGTCGTGATGATCCGTCGCTGACGTTGTCAACAGCATCGAACTCCCGAATCAGCCGAAGCGTGCGCGCATAGTGTCTTACTCGAGGCAAGAGGGGGTTGGGAGGTTACGTGTAAAATACAGCGCCGAGGAAGTACCTTGACACATCATGGCTTCCGCGTCGGGAGGGCGTTTGACAAAACGAAATGATGACCTCTTGTGCACACCACAAATAGATGTCGATGCTTGGCTGGTTCACTGGCAGCCTTGTACCACTCGCTTGTCGTCATATATACATGCTCAGCCGTCAGCTGAAGGCACAGGGAGACGTCGGAGTGTTATCATGCGCCCTATCCGATCACCTAACCCACCATCGATGCATCGCCAACTGACAACGTCTTGCGATTGTGAGATAATGGACCTCTGCACACGAAAGGCAGGTGGGGTACCACCGTCGCCCTGAGTTCGCGGACCATGGACTTGAATTGGGCGCAATTCTGCAGGATGCAGGATACAGGTCCTCATCTCTGCAGCACTGGCGGAACGCTGCTTCAATCGGGCGCTGTGTCGCAATCAACGACGCCCATTATTCCCAAGAAGAAGGATTTGGCGGCAAGCCGCGTGATAGAAGAAATCCAGAGACCGGCCCATGATGAGGCGAATTCTTATGAAGGGCGTGATTGGCAAGGTGAGTGACGCCGTTCGCCTCACTTTACCGTTGACTGCAGCAGCGTGCAGTCTCAACAGGAGTAGGCGTCGGGGCAGGGTCCACATCTGGTCAACTCTGTATGGATATGCTTTCTTCGATGCAGGCCAGAAGTCCATGCACCCATGAACACCACAGGGCCAGGCGGGCGGTGAGACTCGCAGGACCAAATGGAACAAGGCTTCCCACCTCCAATGATATTTGGTGTTGCGCAAAGATGCGTCGTGTGTGCAGCAGCAGCTCAGGCGGCCTAGGATTGTGTCTTCGAGTGGGTGAGTCGTGGGTTGCTCTCGGCGAAGGCAACGCTACGATAAATACCAACTCGCTCGTCCTGTCGTTTGACGTTGTTGAGATAGCGTACGGAATGCTTCTGCCCTAAGTTGACACGTCTCTCCAGTGGACCATATCCTGTTATGTTGACGCCTCGTTTTTACCTTTGGTCTGAGCGTTCGAAATGAATCGATACTGGATTCCCCGGCTGGATATCCACAAAAGCATTATTGTCCAACAACTCCCATACTTCCTGGGCCCAGAAGCAACAGTGCGAGCGTACACTAATGAGGTATGACGGGCTGTCGAGTCCACAGGTAAAGCACCTCTGACGATTTACCAGGGGGAAGATGGCTTCCTGATCACCACACCAGGCCCGTGCCTGACAGATGTGAGCCTTGATGTTGCTCCGTTCCACTACAGCGGGACACCGAGCCCTTGACTCATGCCGGTCTGCCTGAATAGGAGCAGATTGACGATATCTGCACGAAATCCAGGGACATGTGGGAACGACAAGCTGCCGCCAAGTCACAGGACACCGATAAACCTCTCAAGCGTCCTCTACACCAGCCAGTTGTCATATCCAGGGGTTCCACCGAGCCCTCGCGGAGAAGGCAGGATGATCGAAGGCCCTACGAGGGACAACGGAGACACGAGGAGCGTTGGCGATGACGAAAGTCATTCTCCTGGCAGACTCAAATCGTGACCATAACTGCATGACCGATAACGGATACCAGAGGGGCGCAACAACTGGCGCTGATGAAGTGGCTGACGGTGCCGTAAGCTTGCGAGAAAGGGTAATTGTTGGTGTCCTCTCACTGCGAGGTCTGCACTAATCAATGAGTGATGATTTCCATGTGGAGTTCCAGAGACCGGTTTCGTAATCGGCAAGCACGCAGCGCAACAAGCAGATGTGATTTTCGATGGGTGCGGGTCATGAAGATGCAGGAATCCTCGCGAGCAAGTTCGTAACGTGGATCAGGGCCTGTTGGAATTCAGGAGAGACCTCAGCCGAGAATCCTCATTCAGTACCTTATGTAGAGTGATTGCCATATGCATTCACAGCACACAGAATCCCAGAGTCTGACTCATCGATCATGACGTGCTTCTCACGAGTCTGATCGTGGAGACAACGTGCTGGTGTCGTCCTTCATTACACTCTTTTGGTAAAATCCTCCATAAATGCGCCGACATGAGAGAGAAAGCTGAGAGTTGACCACCCAAATGTCATACTATCTCTGTGCTTTCGAACTGATTGGGCAACACGTGGTGATGTAGTGATACGAAGGACTATTTGAAGTCCATTCTACGCTGGTGACGTATTTCGTACTTTGAGCGCCAGACAGACCGGGAGTCCAGTCCCCTCGAAATGTTGAGAATCATTAAGATGCTGAATGATGCAATCAGGCAGCATGTCTTTTGCTGCTTGAAAGCAACTCTTCATATCGTTGAACCTGCATTGGGCCGGCAGACCATAGAAGAAGTGCCTGAACGGATACCTCGTTTCGAGTTGAAGTAGAGGTAGGCTGATGGTCATATTGAGATGCCTCCTCGAGGACTTTTGATGTGATGTAACCAATAATGTTGACCCACTCGCCAATTCTCACCTGTTCGCCTGTGAGTGACTCAAGAACAAGGTTGACATCAACGTGCGCGGCAGTGTCGGTGCCTGAAGGGAAGCTGTGGCGTAAGACCAGAGTCGCTGTGGCAACCGTGTATGCTGTAACACTGGTTTGGGTCAGAAGGGGAATACTGAGCCTCTGAATTGATTCGAGAGATAGAAAGCAGCGACCGAAGCCATGCCATGAACGCACCACCCTAAAAATCTGACTTTATCGCCAGGAGACTTCACAGACAAGTCTGCGAGCAAACAAATCCGGGAAGGAAGAGGTCCTCTAGACATGTTGAAAGTGTTTGTGATCTAGTTTTCATGCTGGACGGCACGAACCAGTCTCTAGGAAGAGTGCACATGCCGCCTCAAGCCTGTTATTGTGACCAATGTTGGGCACCTGGCGATACCTTCATGGCTTCGGGTAACTGTTAAGGTCTCATGGACGCTGATTCAGCAATCAATCGAACCAATGATGTCAATTGATACCTTATCAGCTGATCCGGTTGGCGGCAGAATTTCGGTATTCACATGCCCCACCTGGTTCCAACAGGCTGCGGCAAAAAGACCAGTCATGCGGACGGCTTGGCTTCCAGGTTGCATCATACCCGCCCTCAACCGATCAACCTGCACTTATCTTCCGCCCGCCCTCCATTCAGGCAGCTAACTGTCATTCCACGAGCCTCGGAATCAATATCGGATCGAACAACAAAAGTCGAGTCCCGCGACTTGGATTTGCACCCAACCATCCGTCGGATAAGCACTGTCACGGTCTGAACGCTTCCCTTGGCCCCACGATTCCAGCACTGTGGGTCATCTAGCCAACCCCGCCAACAACCGGACAACCTTGGTCATCTCGCGCAGTATCCTGCGCAACTGCATCCTCGCTCTATACAAGCACTAAGTCCTGCCATCATGGCCAGCTGGATGTCCTGGTGGGGTGGTGGCTCCAACCAGAAGCAGAAACAGGCCAAAGTCAAGGAAACGGTACTGGCGATGAAGAGCCATGTTGACATGCTGCAAAAGAAGGAGACGCATCTTCAGCAGCAGATCGATCAACTGGAAGCCGATGCAAAGGCCGTCGTAGGAAAGAACAGGAATGGTAAGAGATGACGGAACCCAGCGTCGCGTCCTTGAGGCCCAGTCGCTGACCCCATGCCCTTCCAAAACAGAGGCCCTCCGGATATTGAAGCGCAAGAATCTCAAGCAGAAGGAGTACGATCAGACATATGCGGCGAGGATGGCCATGGAAACACAGCAGTCGGCCCTCGATATGGCCAACCTCAACCAGGAGCAGTACCGCCAGACCAAGGCCATCAACGAGGCTATGAAGCAGATCGGAGCAGGCATCTCGGTGGAGAAGGTCGACGATATGATGTATGTGACCGATCAGTGGAGAGAACACTGCTGGAGGGCTGCGCAACTGACCTACTTGTAGGGAGAGCATTCGCGAGCAGAGTGCTATGAATGACGAGATTTCTCAGGCCATGGCCGCACCGGCAGGTCAGCTCGAGGACGAGGACCTCGAAGCGGAACTTGAAGCGCTGCAGGAAGCGCAATTGGACGAAGCGATGCTCAACACTGGTTCTGTGCCCGTTTCGGACAAGATCAAAGACCTGCCGTCGGCAGCAAACGGAGAACGTGAGCCTACCCCGGAGTGTTTAAAGTATGTTCTGGGCAAACAGCTGACAAAACCGCATAGTCAAGGGCAAGGCTGTACCGCAGGAGTCGGAGGAAGAAGCCGAGCTTCGAAAACTACAGGCCGAGATGGCCATGTGAAGGGTGGGGGCGAGCAGCACGGCGTACCAGGCGCGTCACGTACTACTGATTTCGATACGGCTTTGCGGATGAGCACGCGGTGCAAGCTTGGCAACGTCGATCCGCTTGTGTCTGTGGTAGCATATTGCTCTTGAGTCTGGGCGTCGGCGTTTTGGAATTTTCAGTTGAGCTCAGGAACATGTTGGTTTGCAACGCAACGGAGGCACGGCGGAAGATGATGGAGGAAGCAGTTCATAGTCCCCCTTCGCGTCACTGCTTTTTTCTCAGACGGTCCTACTGGAATGGGAAATGCTAGCACACGACTAATACCATTCGAAACGATCAATGCCGACACCTGATGATGTGCAAATCGTCCGGCCGTTCAGGATACCACGTCCCAGTGCTTTGAGTGCCGCATTCTCGTTCTCGGCTCGACCTGTGGCCCGGTGTGCCTTCACCGCTGCTCTACAGGGTCCCTCCTGGAGGCTATAAGAGTAGGGATGTTGAGCACGGCTGTAGCATGGATCTTATTGTCTTAGTTCTTCAGCAGAGATGGGTCAACCACAATTGAAAGAAATGAGGCCGGCCGTGTTCATTATGCGCCAGCGGTGTGATGTCAGACCGAAGGTGAGCCTCGGACTCCACCGAACTCCTATCGCTATCAGTTCGCCCACCACGTCTACTTGAATGCTGTGCCAAGGGGTGAACGCACTGTCCTCGTGGCATCTTACCTGCCTTCGGTAGCTAGGTACCTTACTCAGACACCCTCCACCCACCTACCTCCTAGGTATCTGGGTAATTAAAGCACCTCAGGCATGGCAGCGACCTGAACTGGCGGTTAGGTAGATAGGGAGGTAGGCAGGTACCTAAGGCGGGCGGTAGTCGGTAGTCAGTGATGTACGGGTACCTTAGGCACCTGACACAAAACAAGGCGAGTAAGGGCAAAGGCGAGGCTGGTCATGTCCTCTGCCACTTCACCAACCCCCACCCGGAACACATCACCACCCAACCATCCAACCACCCATCCAGCAGCCTGATCCCTCCTCTCCCAGCATTTTCGGCCCAATGATGGATCAAGAGAGGGGGCGAAGAGACTGGACACCATGGCTCCGAAACCAAGGTAGCTGGCCGGCGGCATGCCTCCCCAGCCCAAGTCGGGCTCGTGCAGCATAAGGTACAACGAGCATAACAGGTCAACAGAGGTGCCTTGCATTGCAGCGCGCAGCGAGGCCCGACGTGATTCGACCAGATTCATCATATCAGGTCACACCAGGGCTGCCAGCTCGCAACTTTCGCCCAACCCCCTAGGTGTGACATGGCAGCCTCTACAAGCAGCCAGAGTGCTGCGAAGACTTTCATCAGAATCGAGCAAGACCGTATTCACCAACCTGAAAATCCGTTGGTGGGCGATGACAGGGGGGACGAGACGAACTTTGAAGCCTCACTTCGCCCCTTTCGACCTGCTGGTTCCGATCCTCTTAGCCCGCTCCACCGCGTCTATCACGGCCCGCAGCCGGACTGCTTTTGACAGGCTTGACTCGCCCAATAGCATTTCGCCAGCTCGAATTCATCACAGGCCGTGCTTTCGGAGGCGAGCCACGTTGCACGTCGGTTCCACGGACCACTCATCGACGACATCTTGGAGGCTCGAATCCTTGTCACTTGACCCCACTGATTGTTTCTCCTGCAGAATCGCATCTTGTCCGTCCGTCGTTTTCTTGCTTCTGAGCCAGTCTCTCGACCCTCGACCGCATGTACCCGCGGCATTTCCCTTGCCCACCATCTCAATATGCAAAGGTCTGGCCCTACTCCTGATCGGTCACTCGCGCTCCATTTTCTGGCCTGACCACCACCACCACCACAACATGGATGCACTTGTTGCTCCCCCTGCGGCCCAGCCGCTCATCCTCCCGTTGTTCCCTGTCTGCGATCAGAAAACACGCATATGAGGTACACGCACATTCCGGCCCGGAGGACAACGCCTACCCATACATAGCCGGCCCATAATGAGCCCCCCACAAGTCCGCTTGGTGTTGTGTGGTATTCTGGTCACCCAGGACATCCCAAGCCACAGTACTGGCCCCTGGCCCGATCCTGGCCCATCAGCAACTGCCTGCTGGTGTTGGTTAATCACGGGCCATTGTCTGTTGAGAGTCAAATGCTGGACGCCACTGTCTCTTGCCTTACGGCCTATTGCTGCCGGGAATTCGCGTCGTTGGGCCGCAATACCAGTCAGTCCGTCCCGTTTCTCAGCAGTGGGATGGTCCCAATCCGCACCAAACATGGCGCCTGCCGTTAAGTCTTTACACGCAGGTCGGCATCCCGCGCCTGTCCTCTCGACCCTCCCGGTCTAGCATATGCTGCCCCAAACCCCCAATCCGAGGGCGACGTGGCGCCAATGAGCCTCGAGCACGACAGTGGTTCCTGTCCTTGCATGACTGGGTCGCAGGCGGATCCCCTCGTGGAGACGTGGGGTCGTCTGTCTCTGCCACTGTGAGGTAGCGTGTACTTCGGGGCATGGGAGGACCTCGCGTACCTTACTCTCAGGTACTCGGCCTCGATAGAGGCCTTGCATGCCCCATATGGTGATAATGCTTGTGACAATGGAAGCTGATCCCTGCCTGGGTATTTTTCGTTTATGTCCCGCCTTGAACCAGCAGTCCAAACCTCGCTTGTCTGCCTTTCTATGACCTCACATCAGGTTCTGTCTCCCAATTACTCGACTACCACGCAACCGCTGGTCTCATTGTAACGATACGCCATTCTCGCTCTGCTTTGCGGTTCATCGGATACGGCGTCTTCCTGGTTTCGTCATAAGCGTTATTTGTGAAGCGAAGCTAAATCCCCGATACCAAACTTCGAGGCCGAGCCTCCTTATTTCCTTGCCTCTCTCCGACCATCGGCCCTGACTCTCTGTGAAAAAAGCTTCTTGGAGCAGTCGTTTGGTAGCAGAGCGACTCGTCTACCTCCTCTCGCGCTTTTTTGGGTGAGGCAGAAGAGCAATGGAGCCCCAAGACGAAGTCCAGTACTGCCCCTATAGGACAAGTGCTGGATATGGTGAGGTCAATACAGCGGACTACTCCAACGTACGGTACTATGAGTTTTCGGAATCAGAGAATGATAACCAGCAGAACTGTGAGTCTCCTGCGTTGAAACGGTCATCCTGAAGTATCTCTTACACGTCGCACAGATGAGGACGAAGGGCCTCATGGTCAACGCGCAACACAGCAGCCGCCGCCAACTCTAACGTCTTCCAGTAAAAAGGCAAAGAAGAAGAGCAAGAAAGCGCGTGCTCCTTCACCTCTACCATCTCCGCTGAACGACGCGCCAGCGTCTTCCCAGGACATCGTAGATCCAGACGAGGAGTGGGGTTCGCAGCCAAAGTCAAAGAAAAAGAGCAAGAAGACGCAGCAGACACCGGCTTCAGCACTGCCTGTGGAGGAGCCCACGACACCAGAACCAACAACCATTGATGCTGAAGAGGAACCAGTGTCGACGACAAAGTCCAAAAAGAAGAAGGACAAGAAGAAATCGAAGGCGGGAAAGGACAAAGATTCTGACGCTGTCGAGGAGAAAGTCGTCATCGCGCCTCCAGCAACTGAAGTGCCGGACGAGCAAGCCGTCGAAGAGGAGATATCCACTCCTAAAACCAAGGCCCAGAAGGCTAAGGACAAGAAGGAAAAGAAAGACAAGAAGAAGGATAAAAAGAAAAGCAAAGGGAAGAATGGCGATGCTGAGCACGATGGTGACACTGCCGACAAGTCTCTGTCCGCCCCTGCCCCAGAGCCTTCCTCACTACCAGATGCTGAAGCAACTTTAGAGGCGGCTGAGCCTTCTGCTTCGACCTCACCGGCTGGAGATGACGGTGCAAAGGCTGCTGATGATGAGCCTGCCGCTACACCGGCAGCTATGGAGGAAGCAGTCGGCGATACCCCAGTTGTGGACGAAGCCCTATCAAATCCTCCATCAGTCCCTGGGAACGACATGGTAGAGGCTCACAAGGAACCTTCAGTGGAAGAGACAGCCAGCGACGAGGCGACCGCCGCCCCTGAGACGGCTGTTGATGAGAAGGTCGCCTTAGGCGCCTCGGAAACGTCCGCCCATGTGGCTGCCGCTGTTAGCGAAGAGCCTGCACCGCCAGCTGAGGCTGCCCTTGCACAGGAACAGGAGCCGTCACCAGAGGCGCCAGTTGTTGAAGAAGCGAAAACCGACGACCTGGCCGCTCCAGTAGATGATCAAAGCAGCCCGAAACCATCGGAAGAGCCAGCCGCTTCAGAGTTGGTTGCGGAAGTTGCGTCCAACGATACCCCCGCGCCTGCAGCTGAGGCTGGCACTGAACCTAATACCGAGCTTGCTGTCGAGCCTGCTGCCGAGCCCGCTTCAGAACTTGCCACTGCGTCCGCGGTCGAGCCAGCTTCTGGATCTGCTGCTGAGCCTGCGGTTGGGCTATCTCCTGGGCCTGCCCCTGAACCTGCCGACGAACCTCCCGCCGAAGCTGCCGAGCCTGCGGTCGAGCCAGTTTCCGAATCTGCTGCCGAGCCAGCCCCTGAACCTGCCGCTGGACCTCCTGCCGAACCTGCCGCCGAACCTGCCACTGCGTCTGTGGTCGAGCCAGCTTCTGAATTTGTTGCGGAGCCTGCCGTTGAGCTATCTCCTGAACCTGCTGCTGAACCTGCCGCCGAACCTCCCGCCGAATCTGCTACAGAACCTACGGTCGAGCCAGCTCCGGAGCCTGTCGCTGAGCCAGCCGCTGAGCCAGCCGTTGAGCCAGCCCCTGAACCTGCCGCTGAGCCTGCAGCCGTACCAACTGATGAGCCAGCCCCTGAACCTGCCGCTGAGCCTGCAGCCGTACCAACTGATAAGCCAGCCCCTGAACCTGCCGCTGAGCCTGCAGCCGTACCAGCTGCTGAAACAGCTGTAGATTCAGCTCCCGAATCAACTGCTGAGCCAGCTTCTGAGCCTGCTGCTGAGTCTGCGGTCGTACCAGCTGCTGAGCCTGCTACTGAACCAGCCTCTGAACCGACTATTGAACCAAGTTCTGAGCCAGCTGCTGAGCCAGTAGTCGAGTCGGCTACTGAGCCTACCGAGCCACCTGCCGAACCCGCTGTCGAACCATCTCCTGAACCTGCTGCGGAACCCGCCACCAATCTTGCTGTTGAGCCAAATGACGAGTCCGTCATCGAGCCAGCTGCTAAGCCAGCGTCTGGACCAAATACCGAGCCAGTAGTTGAGTCACCTACTGAGCCCACCGCCGAGTCAACTATCGGAACTCCCGTTGAACCTGCCGTCGAGTCTGCCAATGAGGCAGCCACGGATCCAGCTGTTGGATCTGCTGTTGAGCCCGCACTTGAGGGTGTTACCGAGGCAGTTATTAAGCCTGCAGAACCTCAAGCCGAAAGCAGTGCAGAACCTGTTGCAGAGTCTACTGATGTTCCTGCAATCGAGTCTTCTACCCAAGAAATCGCCATCGAACCCCCTGTTACGTCTCCAACCGATTTAGCATCTGAACCCACTTTTGATATTACTACTGAGTCTGCCGCTGAAGTGGTTACCGAGTCTTCAAAAGATGCGATTGAACCTACTGCCGTACCTACTGTTGAGCCTCTAACAGAGCCCGCCGCTGAACCTGCTACTAAGTCCGCCGTCCCGCGAACTTCTCCAGAGACAGCCCTAGAAGCTGCTGCTGAACCAGCTGTTGAGCCCTCTACAGCATGTTTTACAGAGGATACTCCCGAAGCCGTCACTGAAAATACTATCGAGCCTACATCTGAGCCTACACATGAGCCCGCCATGGAGCTTGCCGCCGGAATTCCTGCTGGACCTACTGTCGAGTCCTCTGCAGTGCCTGACGATAATCCTACCACTGAAAGCACCGCAAAGGGATCTGATGGCGAAGACATCCTAGAACCCGTAGGAAAACCAGTGGCACCGGATGCCTCGGCTGAGGGAGTTCAGACTACTTCAAAGCAAACCTCCGCGCCAGAAGACGAAGCCAGCGACGAGTCGGATGCTCCTGAGGCGGATGCAAGTTCCCCACCTCTTGCTGACACCTCCTCAGCCGAACCAGCCCTTACTGAGCTCGAAGGTGATGATGATTCGGCGACAGCACCAAATGAAGATGAGCCAATCAAAGACGTACAGCATGCTATAAGCGAGGAAGCCGCAGTCTTGATCAGCGAGGCTACGCCATCAGACGTCAGTTCTCCAGCAAAATCTGACGAGACAGCGACCGCTGCCGGTGACGAGCAGTCGACTGAGGCAGCTATTGCTTCTTCTGGCGATGCGATGATCTTTATCAACAAAGTTGATGGCGGAAAGTCGGAAGCTGACGAGAACGAGGCGCCATCACCTGACCTAGGCTTAAGCGCCGATGTTGACGAGCCGGCTCCGTCGCCTTCGAACTCGTGTCAAAAACCTTCTTTGATCGAGGTTCATACAGATACTTCGTCCGACGGCACACCGGTTGAAGTCAAGCAAAAGGCAGGCGATGGAGAACCGCCACAGGTGTCACCGACAGCACTAGCGTCAGAGCCATTATCCGACGATAACCTTGCTGATGAGGATACTCTTGTACAATCCCCAGATGCGAACATGTCGGATGTTGCTGAAGCTGGCCTATCGGGCCAGCTGACTCAACAACCTGACGAAGGCGTCTTGGACAAGACACTTGAAGTGCCGCTTGAGGTAGCTGAACCGGTGCCAGCTGACAAGGAAGAGCTCGATTTGGGCGCCTCTTCAGCTAAGACTGACACGGATACTGGAGAGGTTCGGGGTACTAGCACAACAAAATCCAACGTGCTGGACGGACTGAACACACAAATTCAGGAGAACCCAGCCGATCAAGAGTCTGTCACAGCGGACGAAACCCAACCCATTGAATTGCCAGATGTCGCTCCAGATGTCTCTTCGCCTGAAGAGTTGAAATTGGAGTTGGAAACCTCCGAGAATCCTGCAGCCATAGTTGTCGAGGCCCCCTTGGCCGACAAAACAAGTCTAACAGACGACACCATATTGTCAAAGGATGTGGGGGACAATGAAATTGTTGAGACACCTGCCGCTTCCCATAATGAGGTGGAGAAGGACTTTCAGTCGACCGAACAAGGAAACAAGATTGAAGAAATCGCGACCCCCTTGGCTATCGAGTCTCAAGCGCGGGATCTGGTCCCAGCCATGAACAATGACATTTCAGACGAAGACCTGGCGTTGTACGGGATCGCCAGTGACGGCAAGCAGCTGAGCTGCACGGAATCAATACTTGCACAGAACGCAGACACTACGCTGGTAGCATTAACCTCCGAATCCACGGAGAGCACGGAGGCCGATCTTGAGCCAGAAACGGTTGAGGCGGTCGCCGGGGCAATAGGAACTTCAGACAGAGGCGACGAGACTTCCAAGTCTGAGGAGACTACATCGGAGCCTCAGTCAGTATCAGTTGCCGCTGCAGGGGTTGCAGCAACAGATTTTACGGTAGACGCAGGAGTCACCGCCAATACAACTGCGACTGCCGAAGGCGACTCTGAAAGTCCTCCTCTCTCTGCGACCAATCGAGATGGTCCCGTGGAAGAAAGCCCGAGCTCGGATGCACCGGCGATAGTCGAGGAGGCCGCAAGCACAGAGGCCGAGTCGACTGCCAGCCATGCAGGTGCCGCTCCCGAAATTGCGTCTGAGCCTACTGAAGAAGACCCTGAGCCTACAGCCTCCGTCCTCGAACCCGGGCCAGTTGATAGACCGGACGAAGATCCTGACTCTGACGCCAAAGCCGAGCTCGGAAAAGGGGAAAAGGCGGCTGATCCCGAAAATGCGGAAAGTTCTGCTCTTGTAGAAGAAAGTGTGCCCCCAGAAACATCATCTGCAGAGGCTACTGCCAAGACGACGGAGGTTGACCCGGCAGATGATTCCGAACTTTCGAAAGAAGAAACAACCGCAGTTCAGGACGCAAAGGATTCAATCGAACCTCTTGAGGTTGGTCTCGAACCTATACCTGATATGGCTTACACTGAGCAGCCGGCATGTTCTTCACAAGCAACTGAGCTCGAGGATTCCTCCGCCGAGACCAAGCCTGAAGTTGAGGACGAAGCGAACGCAAACAAAGAATTCGAACCCAACTCGAAGGTTGTGGGGGAGCCTATGCCTGATGTTGTCGAGGAGCACGAAACCACCCCTAGCAAGGAACACGGTTCTGAGCTGTCCGAGTGTGAGCTCGAGCTCCCCAACGAAGAAAGCGCGGCAGTCGCAGTCAGTCAGCCTGCCGAGGCTGCTGACTCTTCTCAGCCTTCCACTGAGAATGCCCAAATTGATATCCCTGGGGAGCCTGAAGTACCTCTGTCCATTGAGGATGAACCCGAACAGAGCAAACAATTCGAGGCAGAAACAACTACCCAGGTCCTTGAAGCGGACACCAGCTCTGAAGAGCCTGAAGCTGAAGGTGTCGAACGTGGAGAGCCTGAGGCTCCAACGGTCATGTCCGAGGTCGTTTCCGAAACCCCAGACGCAGCCGACGAACCGAAATCAAAAACATCAATTGGGGAACTGGATGCGAGTGGACTCTCCGAAGAAAGAGCCCCTGAAAGTGTCGAGAAGACCGAGCCTGGACCATCAAAGACAGAAATCACGACAGCTGAGCTCGCAGAAGCTTCCGAAAAGAAACCGCCAACAGAGGCGCCGATTGCTGCTCCATGTCTTGACGCGAAAGAGCTGGCAACTGAGCCTACTGCCACGGGAGGTCAAGCTACGTTGCCAGCAGAAGCTTCCGGAGGCGCGGAGCCTGAGAAACCCAGTGATGACCAAGCTGAGCCTGAGCCTGCAGAGGCAGCTCCGGCTGTTGTCGAACAGGGGTCTGAACCTGCTATAATCCACCCAAGTTCCGAGCCAGAGGTCTTGTCCTCCGATGACTCGAAGGCGGCGGATGCCCCTACCATCGACTCGGTTCCAGAGGGCTCACCAACCGAAGTTTCACAGCAAAATAACGGAGCAGAAAGTACGTCAAATGTCATAGCTCAGGAGCCTGAAGTAGGTGTTATGGTTGATGCTACCTCTGCAGTTGAGCCACCAGAAGCAGCAGTCGAGGATGAAAAGCCAGCTTCCGAACCCGAGGCACAGACTGCAACCCCTAATGAGTCAGAAGATGTCCAGGCAATTGAGGAAAAGTCGTCCCCTCAGGTGGACAGCTCAGCTCAGCCCAAGGCAGAGGTGGTTGAAGAAGACAGCACCGAGACGCCCAAGGATACTGAGGCCGCAATTCAAGAAGATAAGCCCGCTACTGAGGTCACCGAGGACGCGCCCAAGCCAGGGGTCCCTCCTAAGGAACCGGACAACGGCGAGCCCATTGACCCAGCGTCAGCTCCTGATGACGCAGCCCCTGTAACGGAACCTGGAATTTCTGCTGTCGTATCGCCCCAGGAGACAGAAGAACCGACCGGTTCCACTGGGGATGTCGAGCCTCCTGGAGGCGCGGTTCCCAGTCCGGAAGCGGCCACGCCCCAAGAAGAATCGTCCAAGGAGCCTCAGCTTGGTGAGACTGCGGATCCGACCGATGCAGCACCACCGACCCCACCACCCGAAGTTGATGAAGACAACAAGGCTGAAGCGGAGGAGAGCAAGGACTCTGTTGGTCCCATCATCGGCAGCGAACAGACAAAGAGTCAACCCAAAACAGGTGAGACCCATCTCCATTTCCTTGATCATGATGCCCCAGATGGAAGCGTGCGAGACTTGTTCGAAGGACCAGCTTCGGGAATCAATGGCGAGGACGTGAGAGATGGGATTGCGCACAATCTCTTAACTCCAGCTGCGGGCGACGTGTCTGGGCCAAGCGTCCCCGAATTGGTAGCGGGTCAAGGGTTGGCGATGATTCCTGCCCTTGACACAGCCGTCGGAGAAAGCCATGTTGTCATCGGTCGAGTCGGCCATGTCGAGACCAACACCCTGGGCGACGAACAGTCAACTCCTGTCATTGCTGCAGCGCCTGAGACGTCAGAGACTTTGCCAGGCGAATCCGTGGATCTACCGCAAACCCCAGTCGTGCTGGACATTACCTCTGAGGTGGACTACACTACGACAGATCTTGCAACAGACGGCCTGGAGGCCGGCACGGATGCAAGTGAAAGGGAAGAGCCCGACATTGTCACGACTACGGTTGATGACGGAGAGCTTGATATCTTGCAGGACGGAGATCAACCTCTTGCAGAGTTGAATCTCGCATCAGTCAAAGAACAGCCCTCGGTCCAGCTCTTTTCTCAGGATCAAACCTCTATGGGTGCTGGGCCTGATTCTGACGTCTCAACAGAGGCGGCGGCCGAAAAAGTGGCGATATTGACTGCCCAGCTGTCAGCATCGCCCATCTCCGTAACCCGTGTGGACACTCTCGCCATTGAAGACACGGTGGCGAAAGACATCGAGACTGAGCAGGATGCGTCTTCTTCGATGGGCCGGGAATCAGGCGTGCAGCGTAATGGCGTGTCGGGCACGGAAACCTTCCCATCTGAGGAGCCAGCGCCGAAGTTCGCAGTTCTCGCGGAAGAGAACGATCACGCCCACAACGATGATACTGAGTCTGTCGAAAAGCATCATCAATCGCTTGTGGATGAAGAGACTCTAGCCAATACGGGTGATGGGACGCAGTGGACTGCGTCTGATTTGGCAGACACATTGGCAATTGCTCCATCCTCGGCTGATGAGCCTATGATCGATGTCTCGTCTGCGCTAAAAGCTACTGAGGAGAATAGTTCTTCGCTTGTAAACGAAGACCTTCCCATCTCGGAAGCCAGACTATTCAATGAGCCGGTCGTGTTCGTCGTCGACGACGCTCAAAGCCCAAGAAACGCCAAAGAACACCTCCTAGTGTCGCCAACCGACACCGAGGATGACATCGATGCTGCAGCAAGACTTGAAGATGTCAATGTCCCCGAAGAGATCAAAAAGATGGGGAAGTCAGAAAGGCACACGTATCCCGAGGTTGAGGCCCTCCCTGACCACTCTGGGAGCCTGGAGTTGCCTCTTGAAGAGTCAAAACAAATGGCTGGCGACATCGAGATCAACAGCGTATTCCAAAATATGGCAACTGCTGCTGCAGTCACAGAGGGAGCCGCGAGTCCAGTCGCATCTGCTCCCGTGTTCTGCAACGATCAATCATCCCGTGAGCAGACGTTGGAGACGCCCTCTATCGCACATCGCGCATCCTCCGAAAAGTTGACCCAATCTCTATTTGACCAACCAATGTCAGTGTCAGGCGAGAGCTTTGAGAGGCAGAACGCCGACGAGGTTGTTGACGTAACGGCTTCAGCCTTGAAGTTACCCTCCGAGCCTGGAAACTGCCACGCGTCACAGTCGCCAGGCAAACCTGACAATCTCGTTCTTTTCGACGAAGGCACTCAGACGGATGAGTCCTTCTTGAAGTCTCAACTACGCTCTCTTACACCCCGGCTGGACGCACTCTCACGAGCGGCAACGCCTGCCATTGTCTTGCCGGACGCAGCCGAACCTACGCCTCCTCTGTCACCATCGGGCAGGCAGTGGGAAAGAATCAGGAGACGGGAACGTAAACAGTCTATTGCTCGCGCCGAAGAAATGGTGGCTGCCGCCGTAGTTCTGTATGCGACGGCGGAAGTTCTCAGCCCGCCATCGAGTCCTACACTGGGAAGCTCTAAGCCGAACCCGATGCACAATCTGCAAAGCATCGAGCATCAGATGCTGAATGGCCCGATTTCGGATGAAGACAGTCTCACGCGCATCGAAGCATCCGCTTCTGTCCTTGGGAAGGAAGAAGAACTTCAAAAGTCTGTTGCTGACCTATTTGCAGACGTTGCAGATGACAACAAAGAAGCAGACTCTTCTCATGATCGTGAAAGACGTCGCAGGCACCGAGTCTCTCACAACTCTTCCCATCAATCCAGCCACCACTCCAGCCGCAGCCGGCCTGAAGACTCGAGTAAGGATGGCAGTAGCCGCCGCCACTCACACCACTCGAGTTCATCCCACCGCCGGCATCGCACTGATGCCGAACGCGAGCGTGACCGTCAGCGTGACCGAGAGCGTTCGAGTCGATCGACTGCGGACGCCGATCCCCAGACGCCACCGCGAACCCCTAAACGTCAGGATAGCGGCTTCTCCGCAGAAAGCCCTCAGGCTACCGGCTCCGCCCGCCGACGGTATCGCAGCGAGCGCACACCCGAAGAACAAGCCGCCCACGAAAGGAGAAAGGAGGAGCGGCGAGCACGTGAACGTGCCGAGGAGGAACAGGCAGCGCGCGAAAGGAGAAGGGAGGACAGACGGGCACATGAACATGCCCGAGAGAATCAGGCTGCGCCCGATCACAGACGAGAAGAGCGGCGCGAGCGGACTCCGGAAGAGCAGGCGGCGCATGAGCGGAGGAAGGAGGAACGTCGGGCTGCACGCGAGAAGGAGCGAGAGTTGGAGAGAGGTGAAGAGAGGCGCAGAGAGAAGGAGAAGGAAAGGTCGCGCAGCTCAGCAGTCAAGGAGAGCAAGGGTAAGGAACCCGAGATTGACGCCTCGTCGCCCGCGGAGCGTGCCCCCCACCATCGCCGAGTGCGACGCCACAGCACTTCAGTCCCCAAGGATGAAGGGCCCGCCTCGGCGCCTGCAACCGTTTCGAACAAGAAGTTCTTCGACATGAAGAATGCTGAAGGCGGTGTAGGGCTGGGCTTCCAAAGCCCGTCATCCCACGCGAAACCGGCAACGCCTGAGCAGGCCCCAACGGTGACATTTGAGGAAGCTTCGCCTTCTTCTCGTGAGGTGCCTAAGCGGTCGAGCACTACCCGCTCTCGGCACGGGCACGGGCACAGGTCTCGCACGGAGGACCTGTCCAAACTAGCGCGAGCTCGAGACGCTGTGGCCGAGGAGGCTCGCGAGGCCAAGGAGGCCAAGGAGGCCAAGGAGGCCCGAGAAGCGCGGCGAGCAGCGAGGAGGGCGAGGGAGGAAACTGCTGCTTCTGAGGAAGGGTCTAGCACTAAGGGTGAAGACTCTCGGAGGAGGGCGAGGGAAGAGGAGCGGAAGAGGACGCGTGACCGTGATATCGAGAAGGAGAAGGAGAGGGAGAAGAACGGGTTCAGGGCCGCGTTCAAGCGGCTGTTCACATCATGATTGCAACGACGAGCGATTCGGAGAAGCGCAACTGTACGAAATGACTTGGGACATATCTTTTCCTCCCTGAGAAGAGGACACACGTATTGGGTAGACTGTTTTCGCTATAGCTGGGGCACCTCGAAGCGGACGGGACGGGTGTTGAAATGTTTGCTTGCTTGCTTGCTTCGTGCTTGGTTTGCCTACTCATTCGGCCCGGATATCTTCGTCTAACTTGATCTATGCATCTCATATTCATCTTCGTCTCTCATCTGCTCTTCTTCTACTCATCATAACTCGTCATGGACGGTAGGCTTCTCTGGACGCCCACTGTCCTGGTGCAGGTCGACGCCAATCTTGCCCCGCCACTTTTGCCAGACGCTCCAAAACTCCTTCTCCATGCCGCTCTCCATCTGGTCGGGTAGCACGATGACGTACTCGACATAGAGGTTGCCGAACTCCTTTTGGTGGTACACGCTGTCAATGTCTTCGTGCCACTTGGGCATGCCCTCGTCCTTCACCGTCTCTACAAAGTTGGGCTGGACAACCTCGCCCCTCGCCCTGCCGAGGCGGACAATGTGGCCATCCATATGTGTGAGGTTGCGGGTCCAGTCACCCATCCAGGCCTCGCGCAGCGACAGCACCTCACGCCAGTAGAGGTCGTCGCCCTTGCGGCGGAAGAAGACACCGTCCACGCGGTCAGGGTTGTCGGTGCCTTCGAGCTCGGGCTCCTTCTCGGCGAGGGTGACGACGAGGTTGCCGGCGACAAAGTCGGGGCTCGCGTCGGCCTCGTTCTCGTAGACAATCTGCGAGTCGCGGGCGGCGCCGGGGTCGATCTTGATCTGGACGGTCGTGGGCTTGCGCTCGACGCGGGCGCCGTTGCAGGTCGGGCACTTGTGGCGGATGGACTTGCCGCGGCCGCCGCAGGCGTCGCACTGCATCTGGACCTGCTGGTACATGCCGGGGGCGAGCTGGTGCTTGACGATGCGGATGCCGCGGCCCTGGCAGTGCTGGCACGTGTCGACGGTGCCGTCGGCCGAGCCGGTGCCCTCGCAGTCCTCGCAGATGTGCTGCTTGTCCCACTGGAACTCGGTGGTGCGGCCGTTGTAGAAGTCGCGCAGGGCGATGCCGACCTTGACGTTGACGTCGGGCCCCGTGCGCACGCCGGGCTGGTGCCCATAGTGGCCGCCGCCGCCGAAGAAGCGCGAGAAGACGTCAAAGGGGTCGTGGTGCTGGCCACCGCCGCCCTGCTGCTGGTGCTGCTTGAGACCGTCGAGGCCGTAGCGGTCGTAGATGCGGCGCTGCTCGGGGTCGATCAAGGCCTCGTACGCCTCGGATACTTCGACGAATTTCTCTTTTGCCGTCTCATCGCCACTGCAGAGGGGGAGAGCCCAGACTTGGTCAGAGACGTGGCACGTGTGGTGAGATGGGCGGGCTGCCGGTACGGTGGAGGGGCAGGGCAAGGGGTAAGAGGGGATGAGGAGGGAACTGCGTACGGGTTCTTGTCCGGGTGGTACTTCTTGCTGAGCTTGCGGTATGCAGACTTGATCTCACGATCCGATGCCTGCTTGTCGATGCCGAGGAGGTTGTAGTAGTCCTCGGCGCAAAGGGCAATGGTGATAAGAGACAGCAGCAGCAGCAGCAAGGCTGCTCCACGGAACACCATGGTCGCGGTCTTGTCCGCTAAGGAATTGGGGGAGGACGTGAGGTGCAATCAAATCTCTAGAGAGTAAGTGGAAACGCCGAAACTAAAAGAGTGACTGAAGGCAACGGAACCACGTCAGGGAAGCAAGTATGTAGAAGACCGGCGGCAGACAGATGGGAGGGGATCGCTTCGACACTGGCTAGCATCGCGCCCAAGAAGTTCCAACGTGTTAAGACGGAGGCTTTGGAAGGTTGCGATAAGAGCGATAAGATAATCTTTTTGGACGCTCTTATCAGCTGCTCGGCTCCACTCCACCCACTCGAAGGCGAGGTGCGCCAACAAGTAGGTACCTGGGTACCTGGGCCTGGGTACCTGGCGAAGCGTGAAAGTGTGAAGCAGGCAGGGTCTCATCATCCTCATACTTCAGCTCCAGGGCGCTCGTCAGGGTTGGCTGTGTCCGGTTTGTTACAATTCTCTTGCTGGCACATGAAGTCGCAGCCCGTTGCCAGTCATGTCGAGCAAAAAGTACGCATTCCTCCCAATGGGAGACGACGAGCTTGGCCCGGCCAAAGTCACGAAGGAGAAGAAGGAAAAGCGATCCAAGCATCGCCACCGCGACAATGATCGTAATGACAGAGACCGCGGCGAACGGTCTTCGAGACGACGCAGCCGGTCCAGATCACGGTCGCCCCATCGCCCCGCCAAGCAGCAGTACCGAAAGCGCGATACCGATGCGGACGACAGGTGGGCCGACGAGGAACCGCCTTCGGACATCGACGACGTGGAAGAAGAGCCTGAATTCAAAGAGTCGGCGTCGAAACGCGTCAAGCTCAGTCATGACGAGGGCGGCCGTGATGGCGACAGGGACGCAGACTTGTCCGACGGTGCTAGGGAGGAGCTCGAGCGCCAACGCGATATCGAGGAACGAGAGGCGTTCGCCAAGCGACTGAGAGAGAAGGACGACGGCAAGTCAAAGCCGCGCGACAGCAAACGAGGCCCAGAAAGCGCTGCCGAGCGCCTCGCCGCGATGCCCGACCTACGTCTCCGCAGCCGACAGCAGTACCTACAGAAGCGCGAGGCCGAGAAGCTGGCGCTGCTTCGCAAACAGGTCGCCGAGGAGAGTGAGGAGCTGAGGAGCGGCGTCAGGCTGTCGGAGCGGGAGCGGGCTGACTTTGCGAAAAACCGAGAAATCTTGCGCCTTGCCGAGGAGCGTCTCAAGATCGACGACCACAAAGACGGATACTACATGCCTGAGGACTACATCACCGAAAAGGGCAAAATCGACAGCAGGAGGAAGGAGGACGCGCTATACAAGAGATATGTCGAGAAGGACGAGTACGGCCAGGAGAAGTTCGTCACTGAACATGACGAGTGGGAAAGGGAGCAGACTGCGAAGGCCAAAGCCCAGATCAACAGAGGCGAGCGTGAGAACGACGACTACGACTATGTCCTCGACCACGACCAGTACATTCAGTGGAACCTGGACTCTAGGCTGCCGGGCGAGGGCAAGACCATGACGAAGGAGGAGGCGTTTCTTGCCGCCCAGATTGAGGCTGCCGAGAAGAAGCAGCTCTCGATCCAGGAGACGAGAAAGAGCCTGCCCATCTACCAGTATCGAGATGACTTCCTCGCGGCCATGGAGAAATACCAAATTCTGGTCATTGTTGGCGAAACGGGATCAGGCAAAACCACGCAGCTCCCGCAATACCTTCACGAGGCAGGCTACACGAAGAATGGCGCCAAGGTTGGCTGCACGCAACCTCGTCGTGTCGCCGCCATGAGTGTCGCGGCGCGTGTCGCCGATGAGGTTGGTGTCAAGGTTGGTCAGGAGGTCGGCTACAATATTCGTTTCGAAGACAACACAAGCGACAAGACAATCCTGAAGTACATGACGGATGGCATGTTGCTGCGAGAATTCATGACGGAACCTGATCTCGCTGGCTACTCTGCCATCATGATCGACGAGGCGCACGAGAGAACCGTGCACACGGACATTTTGCTTGCCCTGCTGAAAGATCTGGCCCGAGAACGACCCGACCTCAAGTTGCTCATCTCCTCGGCCACAATGAATGCGGAAAAGTTTGCTGCTTATTTCGACGATGCACCCATTTACAACATTCCTGGCCGTCGCTATCCCGTCGACATTTACTACACGCCCGCCCCGGAGGCGAACTACCTTGCCGCTGCCATCACTACCGTCTTCCAGATTCACACGACACAAGGCAAGGGCGATATCCTCGTGTTCCTGACTGGTCAAGACGAGATTGACTCGGCTGAGCAGCAGATTGCCGACACAGCAAAGAAACTGGGGAACCGTGTGAAGGAGCTCATCATCTGCCCAATCTACGCTAATTTGCCTTCGGACCTCCAGGCGAAAATCTTTGAGCCCACTCCTGAGGGGGCTCGAAAGGTCGTACTGGCCACGAATATTGCAGAGACGAGTTTGACAATCGACGGTATTGTCTACGTCATCGACCCGGGCTTTGTCAAGGAGAACGTGTACAACCCAGCTACTGGCATGTCCAATCTCGTGGTGGCGCCATGCTCTCGAGCCTCAGCAAACCAGAGGAGCGGTCGTGCCGGTCGTGTCGGCCCAGGAAAGTGCTTCAGGCTGTACACCAAGTTTGCCTATATGAACGAGATGGACGAGTCACCCATGCCCGAGATTCAGCGCACGAACCTCAACGGCGTTGTCCTACAGTTGAAGTCGTTGGGCATCAACGAACTGCTTGACTTTGAGTTCATGGACCCCCCTCCTACGGAAGCACTCATCGGTGCCTTGAACCAGCTGTTTGCCCTGCAAGCGCTCAACCACAAGGGTGAGCTGACAAAGATGGGGCGCCAGATGGCCGAGTTTCCTACAGATCCAATGCTGGCCAAGGCTGTCTTGGCTGCCGACAAGGAAGGCTGCGTCGAGGAGGTCTTGTCCGTCGTGTCGATGCTGTCAGAGGCCTCGGCCTTGTTCTTCAGGCCCAAGGACAAGAAGATCCATGCCGACAGTGCCCGCGCTCGGTTTACTGTCAAAGAGGGCGGTGATCACCTGACGCTGCTCAACATATGGAACCAGTGGGTTGATAGTGACTTCTCGCCCATTTGGTCTCGCGAGAACTTCTTGCAGCAGCGTTCTTTGACGCGCGCTCGCGATGTGAGAGACCAGCTCGCCAAGCTCTGCGAGCGCGTTGAAGTGTCCCCTTCGTCCTGCGGAGCTTCCAACCTCACACCCATCAGGCGAGCCATCACGGCCGGGTTCTTCCCCAATGCTGGACGTCTACAACGCAGCGGCGACAGCTACCGCACCGTCAAGAAGAACGCCACCGTGTACGTCCACCCCAGCTCGGTCCTCATGGGTGTGGATCCCCCAACGAAGATGCTCGTCTACTTTGAGCTGGTGCAGACCACCAAAGAGTACATGCGCAGCTGTATGCCCATTGAGCCCAAGTGGCTTGCTGAGCTTGCCCCCCACTTTTACAAGAAGAAGGACATGGAAGGACTCGAGGACAAGAAAATGCCAAAATCACGGGACTGATGATGTAGCTCAATGAGGTAACTAGATAAGCCATATGGTATGTGGATACTGACCACGCGGGCATCCGCGTTATACGTCGTCCCTTCTGCACCCATGTTTGCCGATGTCCGACATGTGAGTTCGTGTCCTCGTGAAATGAAAGATGCTCACAAAATAACTCTGCTATTTTCGTCTCCTCTCAGGGCGATGCTCGTCAGATGGGAGGGGCACAGCGGTGTGACGTCTAGATCACTTGCCGAATATTCTTCGGTAGCACTGTCAGGGACACAAGACAGGTGGCAGTGGCCGTGCAAACACCATCATATGGGTCAACTGATAGCTCGCCACGCAATGGTGCACCGCCATACAGGCCTTCGGCAGTCGGTTATGATGGGTATCGTCGCGACTGATGGGTTGCCCACGTCGTTGAGTCTTCCTCGGCGGCAAACCGCAGGGCAAAAGTGCGACAGGGAATCTGTAGGACCAAGCAATGTTTGGCTCAATGTGGTGCTGCCTCCTGGAGCGTCTGGTGCTGGTGGGAAAAGCCGTTTGCCTTATCTCCTGGGCTGCCGATTTGTTCCATCGTTCCTGAGTTCGTGTCCGCTGTTGCAAGATAGGCGAGGTGGCTATAAGAGGTGCTTGCTGACCCTTTGTGTGTGAGGGGAAGTCTCTCTATTCATCTTCAAAGCCCATATACATGGACACCAGCTAGTCGGGGCTCGTCGGCAATACCTGCTCGCTGTCAACTCCTTTTAAATTTTCCCTTCTTTCCAACTCTCACCACCATGGTGCTCCCCACGGTTTCCTTCGTCAGCCTTCTGGCGATCAGCTTAGCTGGCTTTGTCGCATCCCAGAGTGACGATTTTGACTGCTGCTTTACCCTCGAAGTCTCTGGCGACTTGGGCGGCAAGCTCAAGCATGGCACTACTGGTGACCTCCGCGTCAATAGCAACTTCGAAGAAGCTTTCATGTGCGCTTACGAGAGCGCCGACCGGCTTCAGGACAGCATCGGCAACAGCTGCCGGTTCAGTTCCCCTTCGATGAAATTTGAGTGCGTGAGCGGCGTCCCCGGCGACGGTGACTTCTTCTTCGACTTTGGCGAGGCCACCGACGGCGGAGAGAAGCCCATACTGCTCACGTACGACGGCCACGACAAGTTTCTTGCCTGCCCCTCGGAAGGGCCAAGCTCCGACGCCGGGAGCTTCGTCTTGTACTCCCGGGCCAAGGAGGACCAGGAAGGGTGTGTCGACGTGTCGCTTCAGCAAGTCGGACCGAGCAGCGCCTGCTTCGACCGCGGCCACCTCGAGAAGTTCAGGTCGCCTACAAAGTCCACGCGCGCTCCCGTGACGGGCACCATCGAGGAGGTGTCTCCGGCGCGCAAGAGCTGCACGCTGAGCGACACCTCCACGAGGCTGCCTGCCAAGCGGGTCGGGTCGGGGCCTCTGGACGGCCTCGTTGTCAACCCGGACGGCTGGGCCAGCATCAACGACGAAAACAGCACCATTTTCGAGTTCGAGATGGCGCCGCTGTGGGTGAACCACCCCCGCGACGCGACCACCCGCCGCTGCGCCGTCGAGTTTCGCTTTCCCGCCTGCGCGAACTTGCCCGAGGGGTACCCGTGTGCTTCCTGGAGCGGGTCGGAGCAGCAGGACTCGGCTGGCGCGGGCATGGAGTGGTATCATGTCTACACGCGCGACGATCCTGCGGCTTCGAGCCGCGAGACTTCGGCGGGGCCTGTCGACTGGGCGCCATGGGATGATTTCTATCAGTTCGGGTCTGAGGACGCCATCACCGTGGGGACCTTTGAGTGTGGCATCGACCGCAGCGGGGGGGTCATCAGGACGATCAGCTTTTTGGCGGAGAGCGTCAATGGTTGGAGCCTCTCCTTTGCGCAGGCTGGCATGGGCACGCAGAGTCAGTGGCCGCTTGGTGTTGGAGCCTACGTCACTGCATGTGATGACACCACGCCGTGGCCTTAGATGTCTGGCTGCGGGCGGTATGGCTTGAGGTTCTCACATGATCCATGAAGGGGGCACCATGCTGATTCGCCTTTGAATGTTGAAAAACAGAAAAAAAGAGAAGAAAAAGGGATGCTTGTCTGGCTTGAAATTTGAAGCTTCCAGTGCAGTCCAGACTGGAACAGTGCCCGGTACAACAGAGAGAAAATTGAAGGTTACTTTATCATGAAATACGTTGTCATGCCCAGTGAAAAGCCCAGCGCTTTCCTCCTTCGCCAAGAAATAGAAGTGTAATGCTCGACTTGGTCAGCTCTACTTGGTCAGCACGCCCAAGATGTGCGGCAGAGTGTGATACCACGGCTCCTCCGGGGGCTGGGCCAGTTCGAAACTCTGCCACTCGCCGGCGTTCCTGAGCGCTGTCTCGGTGTCCCGGCAAAGCTCGCAGCCACCAATCACATGCGGCCAGAAGAGGTTGACAAAGCCTGGTAACGTTGTCAGCGGGCAGTCGAGGGGGGGAAATAGTCCACGGTGAAAGGCGGGCGAAGAAATGCGTAGAGAGAGGGGCCGGGGAGAGAGACATACGCTGATAGAGCTTCATGAACAGGTTGCTTTTGGCCTGCACATGCTCGTAAACATACCAACGGCCGCCCTTCTTCAGGTAGCCGTAGAGAGTGGCAATGTTGGCCTCCTGGTCGGGGATACTGCAGAGGCACAGAATCGAGACGATGCAGTCGACGCTCTCGGGCTCAATCTTGCCATCCCACCGGCTCGCATCCCCGAGCTCCTCGATACCAACGGGCACGACCTCGTAGACGCCGTCGAGCGCGGCCTCCTGGACGCTCCGGCGCAGCGCGGACTGCGATGCGGCGTTCGGCTCGACGCCAAAGACCCTCTGGACGCCTCCAACCTTGGCGAACATGTTCACCCACATGCCCGAGCCGGCGCCGACCTCGATGACGACGCCGCGCACGCGGAGGGCGGCGGCGGCGGTCCTGTCCTCGTCCGAGTCGCCGTCGACGATCCGCCCGCCGCGGACGCGTCCTTCGAGGAGTGCCCCCACACGCGCCTGGCCCCCCTCGCGCACGCTGGGCCCTGCCCACGCCCAAAAGCGGCCGAACCAGGCTGCCTGCAGGCGCGGCCAGCTGAAGAGGGTGGAGGCATCACGGGCGCGGAGGAGAGCAAGGATCGTCGGGGGGAGATAGTATAGGGAACAAGACATGAAGAGCCAGGGGTCGATGAGACCCCAGAAGATAGTCCCTACGGAGGTCATGGCGTTCTACACTTCTGCCTGTTGACTCGCCGCAGAATGGGAGATGGTGGTCTGATGTTTCGTTTTGTGGCTGCAGGAAGGAGGAGAGAGGGAGGAGAAGGGCGGGGGAGGTGAGAATAAACTTGTGAGCTGGGATGGCTGAGCAAGGGTTCTTTAAATATCCATCACCATTGCCTCGTGGTGGGCAGTGGGCGCGGGCTTGGTAATCAGGAGAATACGCAGTAAGCGGGGCCACCAGCGGCTTGCCAGATGCAAGTAAAAGGACCGGTAACGTCTTTCTGGCTCGACGCTTTCCTGTCTCGACATGAGGCTAACGTCTGATGCGGTGGGTAGCCATCCGAGCTCACTATCACAGCCGTGATGCTGCCTTGTGAGGAGTTTGGATCGCCGCCCGGAGGATTGCTAGCTGTGTTTACGCGTAATTGGGTGCCCCTAGTCGCTCGAGATTTGCTAACTCCGACTATCTTTCGACCGGCAGATATGATCTGGCTATTCATCTATCGATGCTGTGCATCCCTTACGAAGATCCCCCATCCTGCCGGGAACTGTTGCCATTGCCATTATACAAGCATCCAATCCGCCGTCTGGATACGAAACTGCTCAGTCTGCCAACCACCACGTGGTCTAGGCCGCCAGATATCCCGGCCCTCGCGGCGTGCCCAACCAAGAGCACTCTGATGTTTTGACCCGTAAATCTCGCAGGATCGCTCACATTGCCATCACAGCGGGGGGTTCGACTCCTCCAATGGGAGAGGCTGGCTGAGGTTTCTTACTGCGTCCACCACACACCTGGACGACAACCGCAGTGGCGTGACTGAGGCTAGTGAGCGATCGTCAAGTAAAGGTAACTTGTCTCCCCATGAGGCTCTTGAACGCGTCGTCAACAGCTTTGCGCTTGCGCTGCTTGGCATCCTCGTCATCGTCGCCCGGGGCTGCCTCTTGGGGGTCGTCATCCTCTGGCCCTGGAAGCTGCGGCATCCAGACACGGATCTGCCCGTCCAGATGAGATGTCAGAATCGCACCAAAGGAGCTTCCACTACCCATGATGGTACCGTTCTGAAGTCCCTGTCCACCAGCACCTCGCCAGACCATGCTCATGGTTCGATTCTTGATGTTCAAGCCTCCGGCAGCCTGGCCACTTGCCACGTTTGGTGGACCCGGCACACGCAGCCGTGTCAGCAGCGTGCCCTCGTGCAGGTCTAGGACAAGAATCTCTTGTTCGTTGGGCCAGAAAAGGAGATCCCTGTGGCCAGCTGTCAGGCCTGACGGGGATGCGAACAGACTGGCTGTGCCAGCACTGCTGTTTTGGACGATGGATCCAAAGCTTGCCAATGTGTTGGCACCCGTCGCAGCGTCCCATACACGTATTCGGCGATCCAGGCCTGCTGATACAAGGTACTTGCCATCATCGGTCCAGCAGAGGCCATTGACGGAATCATCGTGGGCTCGCGCAGCGGCCCGTGAATGAGGCCCATCGTCCCACGGCATGCCTGATGCCATGGCGCGGTCGAACCGGTGGACAATGCCAAGGCTGTCTTCGTGGTCCAGCATGCCAATAACACCGCTGGCCCGTCTGACGTCCCAGACGCGGACCCGGCCATCAGCATGGCCACTGGCGAGCACGTGCTCGTGCCTGGGGCTCCAGGCTACAGACAGAACAGCCCCTCCGTGAGCAGCGAGGGCTTGAACAGCGGAGCCCGATTTGAGGTCAACAAGACGAACGGCGGAGTGCTGGGTGGCGCAAGCAACAAGCAAGTGGCCTGGGAGGGGACTCGTAGCGTGGCTATGTATGATCGTCTCGAGATCAAAGCTGGCCGACGTGCGCATCTGCTTGGTTGACCAAAGTTTCAGCGTTCGATCAAAGGAGCTGGATAGGAACGCGTCGGGGTCGAAGGGGTAGAAGCCGAGATGGGTGATGCCGTGCTTGTGACCGTCGGTGCTGTCACGGACGGATCGCGGCACGCCGGCAACGGGCCGAAATGTGTGGCGGTCATGGGGGCTGCCGCAGTTGTCGAGATCCCAGAGTCTTAGGGCACCGTCGGCACCTCCTGAAAGCAAGCTATGTGTTCGTCAGCGCCAAGAGCACCAAGTGCATGCTGTTGCGTGCGCCTCTGTGACGGCTTACTGACGGCCGTCGAACTTTTCCAGTGCTAGCGCATTGACGCCGGCGCGATGCGCCCATATGCTGGCAGCCCCTGGAATGCCCTGATCGTCTGTCTCGCCATCGAAGCGATGTTGTGGCGCGTGAGCGAAGCTGCGCAGAAGCTCTGTCGTGGTGCTCCGAGCCAGGGCCTGAGGGGTCAGGTCACCGGTTGAACGGGCATACAGGCGGTCCTGCATTCATCAAATCGATTGCGCCTGAGACGAGGCCTCGGTGTGTTGACGAGCGTGTTCGTCTCTTGATCCAGTTTTGCAATGCTGGAAAAGCTGTCGCCAGCTTCCTACCTGCATTGAATGTTCGTGAGATGGATGAGTTGTGCCAGACGTTGACGAACGGAGCAGCCAAGCGCGAATGTGTTCCCCCAGCCAATTGCAATACCATGATCGCTGGACTCGGCGTCAGGTGGGTCCCGAGGCGGCTTGATGGGATGGAGAGGAAGGCGACTGGCGGACGCGCCTGGCCTGAGCTCAGGGCGACGCCTGCCCGCGCTTTTGCTCTCTGAACCACATGGGTAGGTACTCTTGGTACGGGACCTGAAGTGGATATCTAGCACCTTGTTCTTGCCCTCTCAACATTTCAACTTTGCATTTCGAACCAGGCACCATCCTCATCCGCCTGGTATCAACGATAATAGAGGTTGGGAACAGACGGTCACTGTCACACGATTTACCCCACCGCTTGCCTGCCTCATGCCTGCCTCATTTATTCTCGGCTCGAATCACTGCCACGGACCATCGCGGTTTTGCGCTGTACTGCACGGCTTCCATCATGTCTGAGTCCCGCCGTCAATCCAGTCCTGTCGCAGGAGCCTTGGACCTGATCGAGGCCGACGCGGACGACACGGACAACGCCGCGACTTCGGATCCCACGCCTCGAGATTACAGGGCTTGGCGGCAGGCAAACGTGTATGACGCCGTGGCAGGTTTGTCACCACTTACTCAATCCGTGCTGCGCCCTGAGGAGCTTACGCAGTCGCACAGGTCGACTCACCACCACAACGAAATCCTCCCGGACGGCGATTGAGGACCACCCTCGTCCTGGAGTTGACCGAGCACCACGCTTGAGAAAGGCCACCGTGCATTCTTCCATTCTTGCTCCGGAAGAAGCTCTCTTTCGGCGCGGCTTGGCTCCGGAGCGTTATGCGGAGCACGACGTATACATGGCGCACGAGCGTCGTCTACCAGACGGCACGGCGAGCGCCCTCCCTGACAGTGATCTGGTCAAGGCTGTTCACACATACTCTGCCCACTACTACTCCGCCCACAGTCGCACTGTAGCCTCTGCACAGCCTGTCGGCAACCGTCCTATTGATGAGACAAGCATGGACGAGACAGCGCTGCTTGCTTTTGGCATTCTGTTAGAGGAGGCCGGGCGTGCGCTGATCGGAAAGCAAGGCGACTTGGTACTGGCTGAGGGCCTGGAACTCCAAGCTGAGCCCCGCGCAGAGCGCCCCGGTCAAGTCCAGCTTGACCACTCGCTGCAGAGCACCGTGAGCTTTCAGACCATGGGATCTTCCAGACAACGGAAAAGACGCAAAATGACCGATTTCAACGACGATTGACAATTTCCGTGATCGCAGGACCTTTCTCCATCTTGATTTGCGACTGGTCAGATCTCACTTCGGATCCGTTCAAGTTGGCGTCGCAGCGGGTCGAAATCCTACCACATCACGCAGCCCGCACGTTTGCTCTGGCCAACAGGTGCACAATTTCCACCCAGGCCAGCAGGTACAGGAGTCCTTGGGCTGGGATACAAATTGAAGTGCCGCGCTTCCTTGACGGGCATCGGCATATCGAACCGCTCTCGTCTTTATTCTGGCCAGATGCCGGCATCGTCTGATGCGGTTGCAATGTTGAATATCGGACACGGACGCAGCCCCGATCACCAGCCGAGAGAGCGAGCCAACGTCGCCAGGGTTGCATCGCGCAGGCCAGACCCTTGATCCGTACCACCCCCGTTAAATCAGACAACCCTCCATCCGTAGATCGGTCACCTACGTGTGAGCAAACGGACACCGACGTGAGAAGCCGTCTGCATGTTCAGGCGAGAGGCCAAAGGCAAGAACTCCCATCGGTCGCCTAGCGCTCCCAGGACCCTTGAGTCACACCAGTGTCGCCCTGACGGGCGTCTGAGACCGCCGTAGAATACCAACTTCAACGTTGGGCACCGAGATCAACACCAACCCGTGATGTGACGGCGCTCGCGATCGCTAACTCAACCCTAGCCATGGGGTTCCTTCGGGGCGCACGCGACAAATCTCCGCCCGGCTGGTGGCCCATCTCGTATCACGCTGTCGCATCATGCTGTACATCATGCGGAACGCCCGGTGGGCAAATCATCTGTAGCCAGGCCACAAAGGATGTACTTATCACAACACTACAAACTCGCTGACTCGGATTCGCCTCCATATTCATATTGCTTACCGCCTGCTCCGTTGCTACGGTGGTAGATTCTCTATGGTACCTGCCCTGCAAGGCTAGATTGTCAACGTCACGTCGGATGGTTGCTTTGGCTGCGCGGCCCTGGCATCAATCATATGACCGACCGAACTTGTGAATCAACGCCAATACAGGGTCTCACTCAATCCTCGTATGGCGACTTCTTCCGAGCAGAAATTGTCTCGTGGCAATGACCCAGATTTATCGACTACGGGAACACTCATGCCCCAGGTACATGTACATCAATGAAAAGGTCGCCATCGCCACCTCGTAAAGTTTCGTCCGTGACTTGGAGCTATTTACCCGTTTTAACGATAGATGCTTGCCTTACCACGTGGTATCAGGCCGATGGTGCACTGTCAATGCGGCTCCGCGGAGACTCAAAAGAAAATGATCATGGC